TTACCTGAATATTTCGGAATACACGAGATTCATGAACCAAGTACATGTATAAAAAGAGTAGCGTACACTGACTGCATCTTATACGACCGAAGAATTGAAGGCATTTAAATTTTTTACTAGAATAATTAACTTCTTTAAAAAAAACTAGAGCGGTTCCTCTCGTCGAAATCACGTACAAAAACTGGTTTCTTAAATTGCCGAATAGTTAAAGCAAGGTAACCTAAACTTTTTACCTTTGTTGTTTATAGACGTTGGGTTATTAAAGCTACGACGCATCTTGTTTACAAAAAAAAATAATATGTGGATGGTTTGAAATGAAAACTACGTCAACAACAGTGTTGGAGAACTATGACCAATGCAAAGTTTCACTCTAGACTAGTTTAGGGCGCTGAAAATTCATTCATGGTATATTTTCCGTTAAACATCTATTACAATTCTGAAAGATTTCGTGAACTAAATCCATTTGGATTAAACGTTTTTGGAAAATGATGTGAAAAACCTATGATTCCGTATCATTGTGAATAGTGAAAAGTTTTAATTGTGTCAAAAATGGTTTAGGATCGGTTATGTGTTAAGGCGCTAATTTATTTTGTGATTAATTATTTTGCTCTTTACGCAGAAAAGGATGAATTAAAAAATGATTTTGCTTTTCACATCTTTTTGAATTTCGAATTAATTCATTTTTAGACTAATTGAAACTATGAGTTGCTGTCCTGTCCATCTGTGGACACGATAACCCTAGATAGAAGTGGTAATTAGGTTTCTCTTGGTCCAAGTAAGAACCCCGTTGAATGTTGAGTTTTATAAAAAGTTATTTGTTTGTCGTGCGAGGGTAGTGGTGTTGCTTTGGTGGTAAATAATACATTTTTAAAATTCAATCGTTTCTAGAGTACTAGAGTAACTACTAGATCTGTGCGATTTACCAGTTCCCAAATGAAATTGGTAATTAAATATTTTTCGCACCGTATTCCATTTAAAATTATGATCGAGTGAAGAAGAGCGGAATTTAGTTTCTTTATATCGATTTAATGCATTTTGTTGTTTCTTCAATTGACAAATACAGGGTGAACATTTTGTCTGGAACATTGAATATACCTTCAAAACAACGTTTTTTTTAAGAAGCTCTTCATGGTATCCAACATTATAACGAGTTTGCTACCACGTACTTGAAATTTGTGGTCAGAGGCGTACTTCTGCATTTTTAATGGCAACCACTATAGTTTTCATTGCACATACTTAAAGGATACACGTTTTTGGGATTTGGGTATAGCAGCACAACAAACTTATTTATTACATTAGGTACATAATCAAATTAAGGAAAATATAGTTTAATTAATTCATACTTTTACTAGTTTGAGTAGTTATCTTGTTATTATTAAAAAAAGTTCATTCCTTAATAATGCCTCACGAAAAATAGTACTTTCCATTAAAAAAAAGTGCCCGCCCCCCTAGCCCTAGCCAGCTCCGGCCGCTGCTGTGGGGTTTCTCTTTTTCTGTTGATGTTGTTAAACAACGCTTATGGTATGGTGAAATCCAAGGGTGAATGGTTGGTAATTAACTGAACTAGCACATGCACGGAGTACAACTGGTGCGATGCACTCATGATCACGGTCCTTTGCATATTCCACTTAATGGTTTTAACAAAAGAATATCGTTTTTTTTTCAACGTAAACTAGTGAAATTATTAAATTAATTAACACAACAGGTTTCCTTAATTTGAGTTTTTCTCTTAAATTTATGTATTAAAAAAAATGATAAAAAATGATTTATTTTTTTGAAATAATTTTTGGTGCTGTTATATCCAAAAAGTGTACTGAAAACTAGTTGTTGCCATAAAAAAATAAACCCCCCTTGACCACACAGAAGTACCTGACAACGCCACTGGCCACAAATTTCAAATACTGGTAGCAAACTTTTTATAATTTTGGATACAGTAAAAAGCTTATTTAAAAAACATTCTTTTGAAGGTATATTCACTGTTCCGCACAACATTTTCATCCTGTTATTTACAGTCAAAATGATGTATGACATTTTGCTCGATCCTAACCGTTTTTATCTATGGCCAAAACGGAAAACTAAAGAAGTATAGGAGTTACTTCCCCAATTTAATTACTGCGGTCTTCAAGAAAATGTGGTTTGTTCATAAATAGCGCTCGTTAATAAATGAAAAATTTATTAAATTTGGATATCTATACCGATAGGATTGTGGTGCGGATCCAAAGGTAAAAAAACATAAGTTCAAGTCTTCTGCTATTGGAATTATAGCAATGAATCGATTTATGTTAATTTTGCTTAGACGTGAAAGTTCTTGAGAAAAGCTACAGCTGGCTGGGAGGACGAACCAATGAACTTCCATCAAGTACGTCTCAAGCTAAGGCTTTCGCAACTCAATAATATTGCATTTTGTTTTCTGTTTTGTTAAAACTTCACCTTCGTAATTTCGTATAATTGCCCTGAATTTACCTCAAAATGATTCTTTTCACTAGGTACACAATTTAAAAATAAAAATAGTCAGTGGTTCTACAATATTGTTCAAATGGGATTCAATTTTTATAATAATCCTGAGACTAAATTACATCATAGTCCAGAAATAAAAAATTAAATGGAATGTATCAGCATGTATTAGTGGTATATGTCTAATTTTGAAATTTGGTACACGGAATTTTCCTTCCAAATCTCTGTTCTACAAATAATAAATGACAGTGTAACACAAAAAGTCAGAAGAACTGAAATTCTGAAAGTTCTTATTATTACGCAGCTAAAGAAGCGTTTCATCTTTTCACGGACTGTCAGTGATGTAGACTCGAGTTTGAGGGGCAATTAAAAAAAAACTGTTCGGCGGATTTGGGTAATTTAATTAAGAAAGGAAAGGTTCATTTCACAACATAATAGTTTTAATTTAATTTGGTCTTTCTTCCAAATTAACTATATAGAGCAGTAAACCCGCACTTAGCTGGGGATCAAATATGGAGCTTTTAAAAAAATAGACAAATCTATAGGAATTCAGTTATTTTGGTGTTAATTTTCAAGCTCAGGTCTAGATACTTTTTTGCGTCGACAGTATTAGTTTAAGATCATAGGGGTAGTACTAAATAGATTTGGAGGCGGATTGGTCAAACTGTTGGTGTGACATTTCTGCTCCGTCTTTCAGCAGTTACCCAAACAGAGAATGGAGCTAAATAGTGGTTTGCTAAGCTTTCTATTTGTAATGGAAAATGCAATTCTTGTCAATTTATTGGTTACCAGATACAATGTTTCATGATCAGAACCAGACATTGTTGTCCATAGGTTAACAAAATTTAAAACGTCGATTCTGTGATCTACAATGATTAGATATAGTAATACTGCACTAATGGATTTAAGTAAAATAATTACTGACCTGCAAGCCAAAGTTAAAAAGGAGTTAGAAGAATGAGTTTAGGGGTCAATGAAATCGAGAGGAAATGAACGTGAATTACAGAAACAAAAGTAATAAGAGTGAAGTGACTAGAGTTTTAAAAATGAACAAGCTGAACTACATTCAAGCTAGAACAGGGTGGATTGGTACAAAGGAGTACCATACACTTTATGAAAAGGCTACATTTTTGGTTTAAGACAAATCCATTGTATTTTGGTTAAAGTATGACTGTAAGATTCAATTGAGTGCAATTATGAAGTTCAATGTCTGAACGTGGTAAATACTATACATATCTTTCGATTTTTGGACCGAATGAGAATATCGGCATCCTTTTTCTTTTATAGCGCACTTCTCCTGAAATCAAAACCGTGTGCGCGTTGTTTGTCCATTCTGTTTAGGTTTTCCTTGGTGCGCTTTTTGGTTGCTATTTTGACTATTTCACTTGGTCATTGGAGATGATTACCATTATTAATTCAGTAAAAACGTGTCGAAAACCTTTTCAATTAGTATTCCTCTCCGCCATATTCACAACTATGATCTGTGACTGTGAGAGGTATTCAAAACCTTCTCTCTTCATTCCAACAATCGTCTAATCTTTCGATCTCTTCGAAGAAAAAGGTGTATGCAACGTATAAGGAATGTTTATATCGTGGGCACTACAATCGCGTCCATTTTTTCCCTTAACGAAAAATTGCGGGGAAAAACTTGAATACCTTTAACAATACAAGTTCACTGGAAGCCTATATTTATAAAAAGTTCGAAAAGAGTTTTTCCTTCAAGACGGGTTTGACCGTTGAAGTTGTCCTGCTATTTTAAATGGACAAAAAAACGTAAATTGTTACAGCGCCAATAGTAATTAGCAATAAATTACTAATTTGTGTATTTAATTAATGCCCAAGAATCTGTACTTATGTACTCAGTTTTATGTAAAGGTGTTTAAGTAATATCATTGGGATTGTAACATCCAATATGCTGTTTTTTGATGTCTGACTGTGGTTTAGTTTTTGTTAAAGCAACGCACTGGTATTTCTTATGAGATTATTATCCAGTGGCGTAGTGTTAATTTTCTACGTTTTTCCCAAATGTGATCTCTGATAAGAACTACAGTAGGTACACGATATTAAGTTAATAAGCTAGTAATAAGCTGGATTTTGGGATGAATTTTTTTTTTAATAAACTGACAAGACGCCACTGAAGTTTAATGTTCGGTGCGATACAATTATTGGTATTGAACTAAAAAAACGCAGGTAAAGACAAGTTAACAGTTGCAAAAAGAGCGTTGTTCTGCTAAGGCGGATCAATTCGATGTACACTTTAGATGCGCAGGTAAAAAATAAATTTTTGTCACTTTGGGTCGCGAAATGAGTTTAAATTTCCACGCTACGCACAATGTCTATTCAACCGCTTCGTGATCAATTTTCAAAATAAGTTTAGGCAACAGTAAATGAAGTGTTAAAGGTTTGACTGTCCGTAAACGATGATGAAATTCGTCGTTTTTGTACCACAAATCACAGGATTGTTGTTTTACAAGAATAGAAATTGGCTTACATAACAAATGAAGATTAAACCATGAAATGTTTCTCTAATTTCAATTGATACTAACTTGTATTGTTATGATTTTTGCTCATAATTTTTCTTGGTAAGGACGGAGATGCGGAATTCCTGAGTAGCGAAGACGACGCCGATGCCGACGCCGTTATTAACGCGACTGGTGGCATATTCAACTTTGGCGATTGCCGGGCACTAACACAAGTGGTCACTACATTTATTAGTGACGGTCCTGCACTAGAAGGCCGAAGTTCTTCACTACTGTTATTAATACCCGCCTCCATCGCACAAATTAACACATTCTCTTGTTCGATTTAAATTAAACGGTCGAAATAAAGGGTTGAAGCTGTAACTAGTTTCAGAATGCACTGACCACGTTACTGCAACAAATGGACTTTTTTTCATTTGTTTTTCCCCTTTACTACCCCACTTTTCAGGCGCGTAATCCCCCACTACAGCGCGACTTGGCACCCTATAGTAAGGTACAATTAACAACGGTATACGAAACCTCGATCTATGAATCAATTCCAAAAGAGATAGTAAACCCTTTAATCGAAACGTTAATTGAAAGTATAAGTACGCGGGATACTCGTTTCATTTACGTCTTTAAAGATGCGCCTACCGCGTAATCCTTTTATTGCCGCGTCTTAGTTCTAAGCATAGGCTATTCATAGTAGAAATTTGAATTAAGCCATTATTCGTGGGAAAGTGGTATTACGGTAAAATTCGCAAGAAGAAGTAATTATTCATCGTAGATTGGATATTAAAGATCGCAAAGCAATTTTGTTATCGGAGTTGCAAAACTGATCCCAGAATTTGAGGCACTATTTACAGTGGAAGCAATCCGAAATATACATTTTTTTTAATTTTATGTCAGTTTCGCCCCTAGCAAGTACCATCAAGACCATTTTCCTCGGTATTCTAATTGATAGGTTATGCCCGATTTTTTGCCGCATATTAGTTAAATTGTGATTTAGTTCAATTTGACAAATTAAGTGAAGTTTGTGAAATTAGCCCACCCTTCATGGAAGTATTGGATTTTTTGGTGATATATTATATTTAAAGGATCTACAAGTAACCCTACAATAGCTACCTAAAAATAAAATCCGTTTTCGTTTTAAAATTTCGCATCAATTTTGAATAAAACTCGCTCTTACGTTGATTGATTGATTTTGCTAATCAATGACGGTGGTTGTAATCTTAGTTATACGAAAAAAAAATACATTGTAGGTGAAGGACTTAGAAACAACCCTACAATGGACACGTAAATATAAAATCCCATTTCGTTTTTAAATGTCGCAACTTTAAAAACAAATCGCTCTTACCTCTACTCATTTGCGGGGGTTGTCAATTTTGTTGTATACATAAAAAATTTTTGTTTCCTTGATAAATTATATTTAAAGGACGTATAAGGCACCCTACGAATGCCACGTAAAGATAAAATTCTTTTCCGTTTTAAAATCTCAAATTCTAATAAAATTCGCTCTTATACTTACATAGCAATTAGGTATACTCAACTGCGGGGGTAATTCTTGTTGTACATCAAACAATTTTTGTTTTTTTGACAGATTATGTTTATAAGACTTACAATAAACCCTTCAATTGGCACCTGAGAATAATACCCCTTTCCGTTTTAAAATTTCGTAATTTTTAAGGTAGTTGATATTACCTACATTAGTACATTGTATACTCATTTGGGCGGGTTGTAACTCCAACTTCACGCCTACCCTCAATGCTGTGAAATTAGAAGTGTTCTTGTACCCACCTTAATTTTGTGCTAATTTTTTCTCTTAGTTTCTGAGTTATTAAACCTTTTAAAATGAGTTTCTAACTCCACTCGTATGCTGGATCTAGAACTTACTCAGTTTTGTTGTCAATTTTGATGAAATGTTTCATGTGTCTCTATGTGTCCCCAGATGGTTTAGATTCACAATTGGGATATTTTTTAAATCTCTTTTTGTGTTTACATCAAAAGTCTAAATGACTTTTTAAAAATGTCCTTTATAATAAAAGGGCGAGGGGTCGCAATTTTCGGATTGTGAAAATCAATGCTCAAAGAGAACGCTCGGATGCGATTATTTTGGGCTCCCAGGAAACTGGCCGTGAAAAGTTTTCGGCTTGAAAAATTGTCCTCAATGCACCAAAATTCGTTCCTAGTGCACCTCTGGCGTTTTAGGAAAATCCGGTTTTGATCAATTACGACCGTACTTCACGCGGGCAGCGGAGAGATTTTAAATAAATCCCAAAACTATTAATGTACCTTTCTTAAACCTTGATATACCGAATTGTACCTACTAAAATTTGTTTCCATTGTATCTTATTGGTCCTTTTTGGAAAATTCTGTTCGGAAGATCACGGTCAAACTCACAAGGTAACCGTGCCTCCTCAAAATATTTGAAAAACATCAGCGCCAACGAACTTCGCAAGTTCAATACCATACATTGTACCATGTGTAAACCAACCTAGGCTCGCCGCCGCTGCCAGTTTACCAGAATTATAAGTTCTTGAAGGAGTATTTTTATATCACTTCTAATTCGGGAAATGAATCAAAATTTTGAAATTTAAATGGCCCACTATGCATATTTTTACATTTTCGAAATCTACAGACAATTTTACACCTGATACGTTATAGTTTCGGTAATTTATACGAGGTTTGTCGAAAACATAAATAAAATAAAATTGTTGTTGTCATAATTTATCAAACAATTGTGCAGTTGTCAAAAGATGTAGGCATTGAAGCCTCATTCTAAAAATTTGAACAACTCAAAAAACGTTAACGCACTGAATGAGTCTAAAATTACGTTCAGCAAAGTTCGATTGAGATTTCTTTCGGTAAAAAATATGCTGGTAGTTTTTTTTCATGAGAACCCTAAACGTGATTCGTGAAGTGGAACCCTGGAAAATTGCAATCATTAGTATATCAGATTCAGTGCGATTGCATAGTAGAATTTGGCGGAGATGATTGAAAATGGAGATTGGATTACATAGGAAATTTAGATAGTCTTATTCTATACGTCAGGGCACAAATTTGGCGTTATACAGATCTGGGTGTACATTTAGAGTAGACAATAATCTAAGGTTCAAAATTCACATCACCAATTGCGTCCTCACATAGGTATGAACCAAAAGCTCTAAACTTTTAAATATAATCAAAGATTCCCGCTATCATACGTTACTGTTCTTTCATGAGTGGACCTGAAAAATTACAATCGCTCTCGCATGCAAAAACTTGCATTCAGCTCGAAATTTATGCAAAAAATTTAATGGTACATCTAAATTGCCCCAACGAAAGGCCCGTTTGCTGGTAGTGAGGCTCAAAATTTAGTATTACTGGTGGTATAAACTAAAAGTTCCTAATGGCCTGTAGAATCCATAATTTCAAACAGTTCCAAGATTGGGCTACTAGTTCAAAAGTTACAGCCCTTTGAATTTTTGTTCGAAATTGGTTTCTAGTCTATAACTTTTGATTGAGAAGTCTGATCGAAAAAGTACGAATTGATTTGGATTCTAGGCACCCAAATTAATAAGAAAAAGTGCTTTCCAGAGAAATTTTGGTGCAGTCAATTTTTGGTAAAAAAGGAAGGTTATACACTGCCTTTTTTTGAACCCCGAAATAAAAATTGTCTCAGATCGACCCGGAAAAAAAATTTTCTTATAGAATGTGGCCTGTAGAATCCATAATTTCAAACAGTTCCAAGATTGGGCTACTAGTTCAAAAGTTACAGCCCTATGAATTTTTTTTCGAAATTGGTTTCTAGTCTATAACTTTTGATTGAGAAGTCTGATCGAAAAAGTACGAATTGATTTGGATTCTACGCACCCAACCCAAATTAATAAGAAAAAGTGTTTTCCCGACAAATTTTGGTGTAGTTGAATTTTGGTAAAAATGGGAGGTTATACACAGGGCCGGACTGAGTACTTACGGGCCATAGTATAGTATTAGTGTAGTAGTGAAGGTGGCGGGGGGGGTTAGCTCTGAGGTGCACCACAAAAACATTTTAAAGTACTCCTTTCTCGAAAATCAATTACCATACAGTTTTTTCTTAAATTGCAGCTGATAATTAAAAGTAACAAAATATACAATCCACACGAGGTGCGTCGCCTATCATTGTATTTCAGCACTTTCAAAATACTACGACAAAAAATGATAAATTCATTGTAAAACACTTCAATTAACAGAATTTTTTAACAACCTAACATCAACCCCAATTAGAGAAACGTGTTAATAATTTATTAATAGTGCAAGAAACTAAATACAGCACATACTTATAAATTTCCAACGGGCCATTATGATCTACAGGCTAGGTGGCAATCACCACCCGCCCCCCGTGCCAGTCCGCCCCTGATTTAGACAATAATCTAAGGTTCAAAATTCACATCACATAGGTATGAACAAAAAGCTCTAAACTTTTAAATATAATCAAAGATTCCCGCTATCATACGTTACTGTTCTTTCATGAGTGGACCTGAAAAATGACAATCGCTCTCGCATGCAAAAACTTGCATTCAGCTCGAAATTTATGCAAAAAATTTAATGGTACAGCTAAATTTACTTTGCGGCCCCAACGAAAGGCCCGTTTGCTGGTAGTGAGGCTCAAAATTTAGTATTACTGGTGGTATAAACTAAAAGTTCCTAATGATCATGTAATGCCTGGGTAAATTTTAATTTGAAACAAGTGAAAGTACAGTCTTTTTTTTAGTGGAGGAGCCCAAAAAGTATAATTACTGTAAGTGAAAACCGTAAAATTACTCATAATTCAAAAACCAATTTAAAATAAGTAAAGGAAAACAGGGACGGGCAAAGTCCGGATGGACCTAGCCGCCCCAACGATTATACCTTGTCTATTTTAGAGAGGAGCTCAAAGATTAGGATTTTTTATAAGTGAAAGCTTGAGTCCTTGAATCAATTAACAACAGTGAGGGGGGTGGGCTACATCCATTGGGTAAGATCGGCGAGGAAAGCTGTCTCTATAAACAAGTTTTTGCACATGTACCTACCCCATTTTCTTAAAGAAAGTTGGACTACTTACCCTCTCAATTTTGCAGATATCAAGTTGCAGCTTTTTGCATTTAATTTGGAATGTTTTAGGGACTGTAATAGTTAGTGTACTCTGATTTGTTTATTAAAATTCTTATATCGTCGAATAAATACAATATACCTATTATAATAATACAATTAACCTACGTCCGTATTATGTATCGAATAATAATAATTAGTATTACAGTCAGTTAATATATTTAATCTTATAAATACCGGGGTTTAAAATTTCTACACTGTCATCGCCCCTTCCTCCACAACAGTAAAACTCGTAAAATCGTTCGTCTTCTCCAAAGTTTTCGCCGTCTTCCAAAGTAACCGGTAACGTCTTATTCAATGTTTCGGGTAGGAACAGGCAGGCGAACGCCCCAAAAATAAGTAAAACTGCCAAAAGGAGATCGGGGGAAGGTTTCCACATCTCGCCCATGTATAGTATTGAAGGGCTGCAGAAGTTCGCAATGTAACCTATTACGTGGATCGCTGATACTCCTTGACCGCGCACCACTGTTGGGATAAGTTCCACCGCATATTGTGCCCCTGAGTTGTACGCAACGTTAATACTGAAACGGCAGATTATCGATATGGCGATTATCAATATTGGGCTGGTATATTGATTGATGACTAGTATGACACCCCCTATGGCTGAGAATAGTCCACTGATAAACAACGCTCCGCTTGCTAACGCTTTTCTTCCCCAACGATCTTGAAGAAAGAGAATGACTACGCACGCTGGAAGAATAGTGATCGAACAAATAGAAAATATTGTGAAGGGTGAGAATCCAAATCCGTTCACATTTCTCGCAATCGTGTCGTATCCCAACGACATTACCATACTACAACAAAAATTAGTATTAAAAATAAAAATTACCTGTGCCAACACTTACGATTTAAACATTAAAATCAGCATCTTCTTTCTAAGTCGCGGGGTGCTAATTAAACCTATAAGGTTCTCATTTCGTACGGTTTTAATATGCTCGTTTGCGTATTTACGTAACTCGGCCAGTACCTTTGGGTCTACCGTTCTTCTGTTGAACCTAGCGATTCGTTCGAAGCAAGCGATTGCCTCGTCAGTTCTGCCTTTGCTTAGGAGCCACTGGGCGCTCTCCGGAACAAGGATGGCGAAGGAGAGTACGCTGAGATGTGGAAGTGAGATTGCCACAAGAAACCACTTCCATGTACGCAATCCGACTGCCAACCATGGAACGACCACGCAGGAAATACAATAGAATACCCCGATGCATAAGTTCAATCCAGCCGTACGCATTTTCGGTCGTATATACTCCATAACTGTGAACATGGTGAAATTCGTTACACATTATAACTCAAAATCGAATATACAAAGTTTACAATATTTATCCAACAAGTAAAAGGTACTAGTTTTTAGTATAACTTCAAGTTTTCAACAAAAAAATAACTTTCAGTATCTTTATCCCTACACAATCTTAACTGATGTCATATCTACATTTTCTGACATGTGTAGAAGGGGTTGTTTTTTTTATTAATTTACAGATTTAACTGTAACTTTACATATTTATTCCGAAAGCGTTGCCAGATCTATCTGGAAAGTTACAAGTCTTTCACCTTTTGGAAACTGCATGATTCCCTAATCACTTTCTGAGAAATTTCTAAAATCGTTTCACTTTTCAGGTCTACGGTAGAACTTTTTAGGTCCGTTACAGAGATTTTTATGATCTTTCTAGAACTGTTTAGTCAGAGCTTTTTCAGAGCTTTCTGAGTTCTTCTTCTGAAATTTTTGGAAAGCACTAAAAGAAAAACTTCATAAACGCTTTCTACAGCAAGCGAAGGCTCTTAAGAATCTCCCAGGCATTTACTATGATTTTAGAATGTTCAAAAGCCCTGTAGAGCTTCTCCAGAGCTGCTTAGGTCCTTTCCAACCCACCAGAATCTTCGTTTCTTCGTTTTCGAAAAAATTTGGTTCTGGAAAATCATCGCCAATTTAATTGAATAACATTTTAACATACTTTCCAAAAGGGAATGATAGTGCCATTGTTTACAGTCCATCTTCATCACTACTGTTATCCAAATCTGCAGATTTTAAATTACAGTTTTTCTCACTCGATTGTGTATTTTGTGGAAGTTCGCAAGTATCCAGTGCAACCGGAAGTGATATAAAAATAATTTTTCACATTTTCATTCATTTCGCTTGTAATTTGGCAAAAGTTACACGGTGAGCCTGCGTTAGTTTAGACACGGTATAATTTATGGGATCGTATTAGAACTAATACCTATAATAATGTGTTTTTGCGTGAATTTCGTTGTCACTTCACAAGAAAAAGAAAGGTTTAAAACCGAAAAAGTAAATAGGGTTGGTTTTCTGGCAACGTCGCAGCGCGACACCAAGAGCATCTACTGTGGTAGCGCAAATTTCTTGATTCTTTTTTTAGATTTTTGTTGGAACAAAATATAATTCCAATGATCTAATATAAAGGAATATTTTGAAAGCTAGTTAAAAAAAATCTTCCTACTTTCAGGGGATTTCAAGGATGTGTCACTTGAATGAAAAAATTATTTGCCGTGAGAATTTTGTTCAAAAATGTACATTGAACCAACAAACATCGCTTGGTTTTGTTATCAATGTGTCATCTTGTACAGAAAACCAGCGCGAATATATTGTTGAAATCTCTTTTCGGATAAAATAGTTACACTTTTTAACTTTTTTCCATTTGTCCTCTAATTGGATCTTTTATGTATCTGTTGGGCAAATATATATTAGTATTATTATTATTAAAAGATTTCTCATGATTTTACCAGAATCGTAAGAGATCACTGGAAAATAAGAGGTGCGGTGTCCTATTAATACAAGATCTTGCACAACGGGCGTCAGTTAGACGGTTTTCGGAAACCGTTCAAGATAATTTTATCAAGTTTTACACATAAAAGTAAGAACAATTTTCTGACTGAACGAAAATACTTTCAAGATGTCCGCCTAGACCGGAAGTCCACACTTTTTTCTACTGGTAATAATAATTGGAAAGTTTTCACGTAGGTATTGATATTTTTCTGTAATTAAGTTCCATGAGAAAGAAAATGGGTTTCGTCCAATTACAAAAACAACGGCAACTTAATTTTTCTTGTAGGATTCCTACGCCATTTGAGAGGGCGTAAAATCTATTATTGGTATACCTATCTCTTACAGAATATTTACGCGGTTTTAATTGTATTTTATAAACATTTTAAATTTTTTTCTAAATTTAAACAACGTGACAAAGCAGATTGTGCTGTTATCAATTGTTTACTTAACTATATATAATTAAAACAACTGTAACCTTTTAACGGCTTGTTTAACTAGGTTAACAAAATATTATTATTTTTTTAGTTTTAAAACAAGCTTTTCCCTGATGCTTCAAGCAAATTTCAATGCTTTGCAACAAGATTCTTCTTAAAATTCTTGAACTTTGCGCTATCATATATGCTTTTATGGAAGGTGGTACAAAACGGGGCTACTTTGGCACACGGGGTATCTTTGGCAGAGCGCGGGACCTTTTGTTTTTATCAGGCTAGAGTTACCGAGATTTGTTCAGTCACTAAACTCCCCCGCCCAAAATATGGTGCGAAATTACATGCGTGTGGCAGGTCCGAGGCCATATAAAAACTACACAAACCAAGAGTTAGCTGATGCCGTGATGCAAGAGTGGAAGGGATGTTTCAGGTACAAACCTCCCAACGCTGGAATTTTTCTAGAGGAACTCTTCAAAACAGGGTCTTTGAGAGATACGTGAGTCGTGTAGGTCCTATCCCCATAGGAGGAGATACAAATATTGGAGACCATCAACCGGGAGGTTCCCTTTACTGTCAGCGACACCAGCGAAATTAGGTATTATTTTTTATGGAGGATGATTAAGTTGTAATAGAAAACGATGAATCGTTCCTTTAAAATTTTTTCAAAACTATAATTTAGTACCAGTCTGACCCCACGATGGGACTACTAGTCATTGTTAATGGGGTAGTACGGTTTTTGATAGGTTGTTTGACATAGGGTCTGCTCAAAGTTTTCAGTATAGTCCCGCATAAATAGCAGACCTATAAGATGACCCCAACGTCCCCAATCAAACAAAAGACTTTTTTTTAAGGAAAGACGCACAAGAGCTGAGGATAGGTGCAACAAATATTCACAAAATAATTACATCTGTTCCGAGAATACATGCTTCAAAACAAAGCCTTAAATTGGACCATCAACGGAAAATTTTTCTCCGAAACGAAAAGCGTACAAAATTTGGGGATTGAGCGCATAAAATGTGCACAATATTTTGACGAGGTAACAAATTGGAGTGCCGGTTTGAGGGTGCTAACCTAACCCCACCAAAATGATGGGAATGCAGCCATTTTCAACTTCTTTCCCCAGGACATAAGGATAGATATGATAGTCCGAGTGACATTTCAGAGCTTAAGTACAAAAAACTACCTAATGAATGACTCTAACTAATTTGATTTTTTTGCTAGTGTGGTAGGTACCGTATTGTTAATAAATCTAAAATAACATACATTGTGTAATAATACTAATAATAGTGTATCCAACATTTTTCTGGTCGGAAGGGCATAACATTGAGAGTTTTGACTTAATACACTCTTAGTTTAGAATTATTATACCATCCAAGCTTCCTACAAACATAAGATTTATTTATGACATTTTCTAAAGATATTTATTTTGCAATTAAATAAGTTTACATAAATAATATATAACCTTGCATTTTTTCTCTACCAGCATTTTCGAAGTTTTAGTTTGGCTGAGGCTTTGTTAAATCTCACTTAACAATGGAAACATCCAAAGTAATTTTCTGATTAAATTATTATTTAAATTTGCGATGCGTATAAAAGTAAAATGTTTACCAACACCAATATTTACCCTAGCGAGATTGATTCGCGTATTCCTGGACGACAGGGAATAATTATGAATGTTAGATACGTTCAAGGTTTAACATTGTTCATGAAATAGGTACCCTTGAAATAGTCATTATCTTTACCATAACGTTATACTTTGTGTTTAGATTTGTTTAACTATTCGGAAAATTGCGACGATTAAAACGGAAAATGTTAATTTTGCGTTACGGAAAAGTTGTCGATATGCTCACCTATTATATACATCATCACAAAGTTGGTATCAGTCGCCGCACCGGCCAAAAATCTGCTTATGATGTAGGCTATTGGATGGGTCGACATGGCAGTTGCCATATTGCCTACAATCACTATCATATTTGCGATTATCAAAACGCGTAGTCTTCCAATGCGATCAGCCAAAATACCAAGCGCGAAACTTCCCAAAACGGCACCAACGTAGAAGAACGAATGTGCAACAACTGGTGGCCAGCTATCGTTGCAGACCCAGTCCATCTACCAATTAAAAGAACTATTATTGTATTCATAACAGAAAAGCTTCTTTACCTCCTGGACGATACTGATGTATCCGTAAGAAGTGTTATAGTCCCATCCGGAATTACAAGCCACCTTTTTCGTTGTTGCGCCTTCTTGAATCGTCTTGTAGCATGCCAGATATGTCGTCTTGTTGACATCGTCATACGGCGATGGTTTGCACTTATATTCCGGCGTAACACTTATGAAAGTTTGCCCAAAATAGTGAAATCCTGACAAAATGTTAATTAAACTAAATAAACCGATTAATAAATACTGGAATCTATCGAAATCTCCAACATGTCTCAGCATAATATCCACGTCTACAAAACTCAATTCCTCCATCGCACCAATTAACTAACTTTGTCGAAAAATATTATATTTCAACACTTCAGCGAGCAGGTATAAGACTGACCGTACGATCGGGTCAGCAAGCAGTACTGCACCACATTGACGCATATTAAAAAATGAATCACATTCAATAACGTGCATACATACAGTGATAAAAAAGGTGATACATTTCCTTAATTATGAAATTATAAAGCGATCCTACAAAGAAAAAAAAACCATAACCAATATACAACACAAAATTTGTAACTCACGGTCCGCTTCCGATACTGGAACCTCTTCTTCAAAGATGAATTGCGTTCCGCCGATCTACAAATGATTATTATTAAACTCATTGCATGTTTGTACATCGTCATTGTCTATAAAACCTTTGATCATTAGTAAACTAACAATGCTGTAGTGACAGGAAATCGGTTTTGTGAAAAAGATAGATATCCGAAATCGCAAATTTGGACAAAATTAACCGCACTTACACCGTCCGTAAATTCGCACGGTAACTCAAAAAACGCCTTGGTCTATGAAGTTGAAATATGATCCAAGCAGTGATTGAATTTTGCGCTTTGGGAGTCAATCCCCTGTAGTAAGCTTTTATGAGTATTGGATACAGTGGAGACGTTTCATTTGGTTTCCTCGCTCAATTTTAATACAATTTTGTGTTGATTATCCATAAATCCAGTTATGATAAATGCGAATAGAAAGAAACGTAGAATTTCACAAGGTAAACTTTGGAACTGGACCGAGAGGAAATGGGATCAGAAATTCTTTGAAATTTGCATATCATTATGTTGCCGCATGTATGTTTGGCTAATTGCACAGTCATAATGCAGGTGCCATAACATTCAACAACTGATTCAATAGGCGTGACAAACGTTTATGCCTCATAGGATAAATAATCGTACTTACACAAAACGAATGGAACAAACACTTTTTTTGAAACCAAATTAGGATGCCTGGCGCTGACACTATTAATTAAGAAGTCGCAATCGAAATCGACCGGGTTTATCCCTAAAATACGGTGGGAAGTTCTAATTAGGTCATTTAATCGCACCGGATTTCGGTTGTTCGTCCTTTTTTTGTAAGATTAGCATTTAAGAAATGTTCCCATTATCAACCTGCCTGTCCGTTGTATCTCGAGTGTTAAGTCAAATTTACAAGCTTAGATGCCATAAACTGCCTAAAGAAATGAACAAAACTGAAATTTTTTGTGCTTGAAACTTTTTGGTTATCAGAAAGTATTCATATTCATATTATTATTTACACGTTATTGCTTACAGCTTACCAAGCCTTAGTTAATTGATTCATAGTCAATGTGTATAATTTATGAATCGGCTTAAAGAAAAAAAGATTCATCCCTAACACTTTTAATAGAAAAAGAGATGACCTGGTTCTATCAGTAATAATTATTCGTAACTTATAACTAGAAACTTGAGCGCAGAACAAATTTGAAATTTTTTATTTAGCTCGGTTTGGCCTGTAGCCAGGGACTGGCCAGGAGAGGTCCAGCCTCACCTAGAAAACGTGGTCTTTGCCCCCTTGAAAACTATGGCTAATAATGTTTATGGTTCTTTTACAAAATCCAAAACAAAAATTGGCCCAACATATTACATACAAATAAGAATCAAACATGGAAAACAAAATCAAACAAAGAAACAAAAGCACATCCCTCACAATAGACGAATCGTTACACAAAAGTGAGTTTTTATTAACAAAAATTCTCATTTTTAAAACGAAGATGGACTATACTTTTATGTACACATAAAGAGTGACATGGATCTTCATCTTGTAAACAAAGTGAAACAAGGAAACTAATATATTCGTGGTACTACAAAGGTTACAGCAGTTGCAATAAACTAATCGCACCCCAAACTTACGAGTAGTGTTTAATGCCTCAGTCACCTCCAGTTTAGGGAAAATCTTGCACGAAATTATGCTAACTGGTCCAAAACTACAAGTGGATATAACCCAGTTGCTACTCAGATGGAGACAGTATGCTGTAGTACTGACCGCTCAGAAAATGGGCAGACAAATCAAAATACGAGAAGGAGATCAAACCATACTCTGGTGCAACTCTCCTCGTAAGCCTATTAAGGCGTACAGAATAACCACAGTCACTTATGGCACCACCGACGCACCATACCTAGCAGTAAGGACCCTGAAACAATTCGCAGAAGACGAAAATAGGCAATTCCCAGAAGCATCTGCAATCGTTAAACGGGACTTATATGGACGACTTTATTACGAGGTCGCACCATGCAAAGTCTCTACACACCAGCTGCTCGAGTTACTCAATCGCGGAGGGTTTAAACTCGGGAAGTGGAAAAGCAACTAAAGCAACTGCATTTTCCACTTTGCCAAAAAAACCCTGTGAGTGCAAACCAAAATATTCTATATACTACAGAAATTACAGCACTCACTCTAGACAAATTGTTACGCAAAAGTGCGTTTTTATTTTAAAAATGTACAATTTTCAAAAGGAGAAGGGGAGATACTTTTATGCGCACTTGAAGGATGGCTTGTGAGCCCTGTCAACAAAATGGAAACGAGAAAACATTCGGTGTACTACAAAAACTACAGCACTCACAATGGATATATCGTTGTGCAAAAGTTTTTATTTTTACAAAAATTATAATTTTTAAAGCGGGATGAAGTTATATTTTTATGTGCACTTAAAGCTATTTTGTATAACAGTGTGTTCAAGATTTTTAAGTCCCACCTACAAAAATGCCGGCCACTTCTGCTCATCCTGGTTATGGGCCTGGTGACGAAAAAAGCGAATAGAGTGGAAAATTTTCATTTTCATTACACATGTTCATAGAAAAGGCATTAAATTGTAATTAAAAGTTCCAAAATTACTTGACATCAGTAGGTAGCTTGAAAAGCTATGTAGCTACTGCACCTGCCTGACCGACCTAATTAAATTCCATCTAAATAATCTCCACTATTTGTTATTTATTGTTTGAATTAAAGCAGAACTAAGAGATCTATTTATTTTTATAGCTTTGGTTTAAGGTTCAGGCAATGGCGGATTTACATATAGGCACACTAGGCACGTGCCTAGGGGCGGCATCTTTAGAGGGCGGTATTTTTTGCACTATATTTATTTTAGGTAACATTTTAAGTTTTAAAATAAGTCCCCTAACATAAGTTACGAATGACAAAAATCTTTCATTAAAATTATGAAATAAATTGGAATTGGTTTGGTAGATAGTTTAAATCCTGGTTTAAACAAACTGTAACTGTCAGAACGATAATCGACAATGCAAGTTTTGACGTGTGTGAAAACTTAATCTTAGGTATACTGTATTTCTTTTCATATTAGTTTTAAAAATATCATGTTAAAATTTGATTTTTATTTTAAAATTCATTGCAATTAAAAGATTATTTTGGGGGTGTGCCTAGGGGCGCAAAAAATTTAAATCCGCCACTGCGGTTCAGGTCACAACGGCCGATAAGTGAAGTTTTGGAGGATCTCATTAAAAAGCGTGAAACATTTTGAGTTGGAACTTTCGAAATTTGTAGTTAAACTTTCGAATTATAACGTGAACTATTGCAAAAATTGAACCACTTTTAACTCGTTAAATTAAAGATATTATTTACTCTACTCTGTACCAAAGAGTAACTGTATTCTTTGTCTGTACTATAATAAATTTCTTTACCACATTATTACCATTTGACAGTTGATCAATGTAGAATTTTAACAGGCTCAATCATTGCTTCTTAACCGAAGTTATGATCCAAAATATCGAAAATTTAAATTTATTTTTGAAACTTTGGGTCATATGTTTGTAATGATTGAAACGTCGAATCGAAACCCCGAGGCCCCAAAATTCAAGTCATAGATTAAGGTGAGTCGAAGTTTTGGGGTAGTAAGTCGAAAAATTAAAACGTCAAGACCCACATTTAAATTTTTATTTATAAGTTTTGGTGTTACAAGTTATAACTTGAGATTTAAAAAATAAAATTTCGATTTGTATTTGTCGCAGTGTCACAAGATTTGGTTCGATAAAACCACATGAATCATAATAATTGACCCGTTTGGAGTTTGGTGCATTGTTATGGTATAGTTCTTACTACTAAACTAGGTACTACTAATTGTGTTTGTTCCCTATTTGTTTGAAATGGCACTACTAACGGGAGGATTTTGAGGACCTTTTGCATGAATTGCAATTCGAAAATAGTGTTAGTGAAGATCGTCGATTGAGTTACTCAGCAACCACGATTATGAAATGCACATTACGATACCACGAATATAATGTTATCAATACATATTATCGTTATTACAATTTCCTTACTAGTTCCAAGAAGCCATTGGATCAAGAACCATAATTGAATTTCAACAATTGAATGAGATGTACAAAAAAAGCGAACAATTTGACCATACGTAAGCCTTAGCTGTTTTGCAGTTGAACGTTTTGGGTGCATAACTTTTTTATCTGAAACCTCCGTTATCCATTAACATATCGCTTTTTTGCAAAATGTTACATAAACCTCTTCATCCACTGGCCCTTTTTGTTATATGCTCCCTACTTTAATATTACAATTTGGTATTCTTACTTTAATGAATTTGGTGAAAAAAAGTCAAATCAGAAAAAACTTACGCTTTCTGCAAAATTGATACGGTGCATGTATCAGTTGACGAACTTTGATGTGACAATGTCGGCAAAAAAGTGACTTTGTAATTATCCGCATATTGATATCGCGATGAATTTTTCTTCGTTTAACCTCGGTCGTATTATGCTTGGTAACGAATTGTTTATAATTAATTTTTATAAAGGTAAATAATTAGCTACCGGTAGTTATGATGCAACGGATTACTCGACAATTGTAAACAAGATAAAAAGGTTTAAATAGTGTTCAGTTCATTGAACAAAATTTATAAACAATAACAGGACAATATCATATCAATATTCTCCAACCAACATTTCTTAATTAAGATCCAAGTACATAATCTCTATTGAGTGACGTTCCGATCAAGAAATCGGATTGCATACTTTCTCCGTGGCACCGATTTCCGAATATCTCAATAATCTAAATAAATAAATAATCTTATTTTTCGGGAACCTTGTCGTAATTAAACGCGAAATCACATTTTTTGTCGCATCGTCTGTCGTAATATGATGTTTTCATCAAACATTCAATTATCGTAGGTTTTACCTAAATCATTTAAATTTTCTTTAATAAAGGCCGGAGGTTTGGATCAGCATGGTAACTGTAAATGTAACTGTTTGGTTACAAAACGCAGTTGACTTTGAGCGTTGTTTTTAATGCATTGCAACATGAAAGTCAATGAAATTTTCGTGATTTGCAAAAATTACTTGCTACAAAAATCAAAAACGTTTATGGCAGAAGGATTTCTCCACCTCCAGAATCCAATGCAAGTCATGTGCCGTTTTGAAATCATGATAGAACAAAAACACTTACCAGAGAGAAAATTTAGATTACTAACCTAAGGAGAAAATGTAAAATTTACTGCACGAAGCTAATATTTTTTGGTCAGAACGTTTTGGAAGGAAATCCTTTCCTTAGGTAGGTACCTCGTAGGATCAGTTTCAACCAAGGCTGCTTTCACAAGCCAGCGCATTATACACGCGCAAAAATTCATGTCCGAAACCGGATTCGAGTCATGGAATTTTTGGAAATGCATTGAATGGCTAACTAATATTTCACTTAGAGGTTACCTATTTGTAGATTTCAAGTTAGTATTTGGAAATTGCAAACCAAAAGTTTCAGCGAATTCATCAGCAAAAATAAAAGGCTTATAGTAAAAGTTTCTTAAGAACCAAAACAAAATGCGTTGAATTTGGATACATGACTTTTACATACATATATAGGGTTGTGATTTAATAACGGATAAATTCAATAAAAAGAAATGGAGGCGTGTTCGGAAATACGCTCAGACCCACCGATTTTGTTTTTGGATTCAGCGAATTTTTTTTGGCAGGAAAATATTTTTTCCTTAAATAGAACTATCCGTATATTATTACATTTTCGAGTTCTCCAGATAATTGTAGAAAATTTTCATGTAACTGTCCTACACCTGTTCACGTAATTACGTTCAAGTATTAAAATATCACTTTATTGCCACATATAAACCGATTCATAAATGATTTTTTAAAATCGCAAAAGTTGTTTTAGCAAATGCTGGGAGTGTCCGCCATGAACAGCTCGATCAATAAACTCCTGCTGTACATTTTCTGAAAAAATATTCCTAATTACGTCGCGTAAATATTCCGTGAACAGTTGAAGATTGGACATTTACATGAAACATGTCTACAATTTTGTGGAGAATCAGAAAATGCAATAATATACAGGTCGGTATTTCTATTTAAATAAAAAATATTTTTTCTGTCACGGCTTTTTTGGGCCACCAGGTATACTTCCATCGACCAGTCCTAGCCGAGCGTATTTCCGAATACACCACCATTTAAAAAAAAACTTTTATTGAATTGATCCTTTATTAAATCAGAACCCTGTATTTGTCTTTATCTTGCGAAGTAAGTGGAGAGGCTAAGACTAATTGCCGGCATTAAACATGCAATAATTGCTTTATAACGCACTTTTTTGAGGGATTTAAAAACTACTATTGTGCTCTCCATCCGTCTGCGGTTTTCAACTACTTTTAGAGGAATTGTCCTGGAATTTTTCCAATAGGTAGCCAAAACCTTGAAACGGCAATCAAATTTTGTTGCCTTAAGTAGTGTTCCAAGTAAAACTTTTGAAAGTTTCGGGGTGAGGGGGGCATTCTACCTTTCATGGCATTCTAATGAAAAAAACGAAGGAAATTTCTACTCTTTCTACTACTTCTACTCGGACACCATCGACTCCCCTATAAAGCTTGTCTCGCTTTGCTCTGCCGCTTAAAAAATTGGGGAAAGCAGTATACAGTCCAGAAAACATACCCGTAGAAATTAGAAACGAGGCGTTAAAAACTCCATTCGCCTGACGTCAGCGACTTGCTGTTATTGCAATAATGAAAAAGTACCTATTATTTTTCTTTACATTCTGCATGTGAACGAGAAGTAATTCATCTTGAACGCGTTTATATTCGTGCGTAATCATAAACTTCTCCATAAACTTTTAATTATTGGAATTTTTTTATATAGACATGCATTGTTTAGATAGGGTTATTAAGAGACATAGCAAAGCGTTGGAAGCTTTATAGGGGAGTCGATGGTGTCCGTCTGTCCGTGAACACGATAACTGCCAAACGCTTGGACCGAATTGGTTCAAACGTTGCACAGTTGATCTATATAGCACATGTAACAAGTCTATTGAAAATTGGTCAAATCCAATGACCCCGTGAAGTCACGCCTCTCTGTCTCTGACAAACGCTTGAACCTATTTGTTCAAACTTTGCATAGTTTACTCATATGCCACATATTATAGGTCTATTGAAAATGAATCAAATCCAATGACCCCCGTAGGATCACACTGAGGTGCTCTACTGCTTTTTTAGATCTGGTTTAGGGGTTTATTTAGTTATAGGGGTATTTAAGTAGAATTTAGTAGGAACTACGTTTCTTTTCTCTTTTTAGTGTGGTTATAATAAATTGCTTAATTTCGATGTTTAAATAAATATTCAGTTTGATAACCTTTTGGAATTTGTCTGTCAATTATGATGTTCAATAGTAGTTCAGCAACATAATAAGACGAAAAAATTATAAGAAGAATTTACACCGCGAACCTGAGAGAATCTCCAACCCTTTGCAAGATACCAATACGAAAGTACCTACCGACTACCGGGTGAATCTTCCTACAGCTCTCGTTTTATATATCCATGGGTTAAGCTCTGTAACGTTGCTAATACGTGCCCAATGGGGTTGAATTCAAAATTTGAGCTTTTTGTGAAAATTAAGAAGTAATCGACCAAATTTGGATTCTAAATCCATAAAAATCAAACGTTCTCTGCAAAAATTAAACTATACCCCCATGGCGCACCCTCGCGTGTGCCACACTGGGACTTTAACAAATGATACTACCTACACACTTATTCCTGTAATAATTTTTTGACAGATGGAAGTAGCCACTGGTAATGAGCCCCCTAGTTTTTTTTTTAATTTAATACAGTTAAAAAATGCAAGTATATTTCCATTGTTACTTATTCTGTGTGGTGTGTAAATTGGACCGTCAACACATGCCACATTTAATTAACATGACCATGAAGCCATTAGAGACACGCAAAAGAGAAGCAGTGAATAGTAGTGTCGTTTACTCGGTATATGGTTGTGGAAATTTACTAGTACGCATAATAACTGTGATAAATGAATGCATTATACCTTTACTATTATATTTAAAGTGTATCTATAGGTATTAGTAGTACCTTTTTGTTTTGTAATGACAGTTGTATTCTTGTCGCAATGCATTATACGGACAGTAGGCTTGAATTATAGTACAGAAAGATTCTTTTAAAAGAATACATACGTATACTTACTTCCCTATGAACCCTTTTAAATTGACCATATCAAAGAATTAGAATTTTTAGGTCAGATTTTAGTAAACTTTACCCCTTCCCCTTCACCCCAAAATCTGTAAATTTGATACTGATTCTATTGTAATCTCTGAATTAAACACAAGTACACATACAAAAGGTAACTAAAAGGCCGTGGAGACAACCCTTGCTAGAAAAAAAACAGTGAAAGATCTTACAAACTTGTCTGAACTCATAAAAGCACTCAAAAAGCTCTTGAAGAGAAATCTTTTCTTATTAGTACCATTGAATAAGTAATAATAACTTATCCAATGTTAGTACGTATAAAATAACTATAAAACCTATAAAAATACTAGTTATTCGAATAATTATATAATGATTTTTCACAATAATTTACAGGGTCTTCACAAATTATAAGAATATTTTTTTTCAGTTTTTTAAAGAAAACTCGATTGTTTCAAATGGAATGTCCCTTTTTTTTTATTTCAGATATTAATTCTACACCAAATATTCATTCGGTTGGTATGACATTGTCTATACCTAAAATAACATTTTTCTTAATAAAGTAATTTTTAATACAAATCATGATTTCCCTGAACAACATAAACGCCGTTACATTGGGAAAATTAGTTAACTGTCAATGCACAAATTTAAAAAAACACATCGAAAAACATTAAGACCCTATTCCCATTTTGTTCCATGAACTCTTCTGGAGACTTACCTGCCTGTTACTGCCCTGATTTGATATGGTGTTGAGGATCGGAAGATATTATGGACTATAGTTCCAACATATTTTTCTTTGTCATGATCTGATCTTTGTAGACTACTTCTTTAATGTGCCCCCACAGTAAAAAAAAATGTTCAAAGGCGCCAATCCTGATATCTAAAGGGCCACATGCCAACTACGTTATAATTGTGAACTGGAGCGCCATCTTGCTGGTACCATGCTTTCATCCGCTGTTGAAGAGCCAAATTTTCAAGGTGTATTCAAAATTTCGAGATATCGAACGCCGTTTAAATTTTCTTCATAAATGACATAGCGAGAAATTTGGTCGTCTTGCAAAACACAGGGGACATTGATGCTCCAAACAATTTGTTTTCTCTCACTACGTAACAGCACCTATATGGAGATTCTCAAAATCATGAGAGGCGCCAGGAGTCAGACTGACATTTATTAACAGAATACAAGCAAAAGTGTACAGAGTGTACTCTTAACTAAGTAGGCACGTTAGAAGTTACACAATTTTTGAAGCATGCATAACTAAATTTTATAAATAAAAGTAGACTACACCGATTAACGACAGAAGCCAAAATTGGAACTTCACAGACGCAGATGTGTTGCACAGATCTGAATCACAAGTAACACAGGATGCAAGAAGCGCGCACGCATCTTTGGTTCCGCAAAGCCTTGTAACAACAGTTACTAAAAATAGGTTTTCATTAGTACGTCAACTATTTTGATAACAGACTCACCCCCTTCGATTTTAGGCTTTGCCTTAATGCACACGTTGTTGGGCGCGTCGCATTCTAAAGCAGGTACCGTGGAGGAATTGAAGTCACGTCCACACGTCGAATCTTCAGGTGATGCGCATGTATAGCACTTTAGCGACCAGCCTGAAATTCATCTACTAGTAACAATTCCGTTTGTCGATAGTATCTTTGATTGACTTACCATTTTGAACACAGCATGCTACCAGCACTGTCACAAACAAATAGACTGTTTTGGAATTCATTTTCAGACCCCTTGCTTCCTATAGAAGGTGACGTTCAAGAATGAATGTCCAGCCAAACCCGCGGAAGTGATTATAAAGGATGACTGTTCTTATCAAAAATGGTGATTATTACTAACACAATGATGATAGCATTATCTGCAAATGCGATTCTTGTAAATTTTGGACGGTTTTCCCCTAATAAGCCTAGTCATCAATAGCAAACATCCATATAACATTTGCCCAAAAGTTTGCATCTTCTTGACATTTGATCAGCATTAAGTCACAGAACTCCACCCGCTTTGGAAGATGTTGGGGGCTTTAAATGGTGTACAAGTTGAATACAAAAAGCTTTGTACGTAAGCTCGAACACTACGGTGTCCGAGGGCCTTAGATTGGTTCAATCAGTGAAAGATATCAAAGAGTAGAAATTATAAAACCCAAAATTCTCAAAAATACAAGAGGTATTCCATAAGGCAATGTAAGCGGTCAAATTCTATTCTTAATATTGATTGAATGATTTAAATTACATAATAAATCGTCCAGAGACTTAATTTTTCGGATGATACCAATTTGTTAATAAGTAATGAAAACCCAAACCAGTTAGTGCAACACTGTAATTCATTTTAAAAGCAAAAAAAAGTTGATTGAGACCAATAGCTCGGTTACAAATAAAGAAAAACGCAAATTGTGATTTTTAGTACCGCCAGAACCGCAAAACAAAAACCATCAAAACTTGTATTAAACCAAAAAGAATTAGCTGCAATCAACAACGTTTCTGGGCATTATATTAGAAGAATTTTTAAAATGGTCACCAAGGGACTAAGCATCCAAGGAGTAAATGGAAGAGTGTCAAAAGTAACCAAACATCTCCTAACGTCAATAAGAAGTAGGAGAAAACGACCATGACCATTGACCATGGATTCTATATAGCCAAAGCAATAAATCCGCCAATTATCCTTGGAGTAGACTGGAAAGAAGGCAACTATTGAAGTTAGAGAGAAAAGATTGAAGTTTATTCAGGACGAAGTCAACTATTATGTGAATTTCATGTAGATTATTCCAAAATGTACAAGGCAAGAAACATGAGAATCTATAATGCCGATAAGAATCCAGCCGTACCCCTTTTGTACAGAAGAGCTATACAATTCCCTTTTCCAAAAGGGAAGCAGTAGAAATGGAAATACGGAGAATGCTGGATCACAACATAATAGAAAGATTAGACCCACCATTTTCGAACCCTATAGTAGTAGTGAGTAAAGCAGAAGGGTCGGTTCGAATATGTTTCGATGCTAGAAGACCTACTGGAAGAAACTTTAGAAAAACTTGGAAATTCGGAATTCATCAGTTCATTAGACCTTACTGCAGGTTATTGGTAAGTTCATATAAATTCTAGAAAATACACAGCCTTTTGGTGAATGGGCACAGTTTGGCCTCAACGTTTCGGTACGTATGTAACTGTGTTTACTAGATGTCCATGATATCCAGTAGTTTTTATATACCGACCACAAGGCATTATCTTTTGTTCTGCAAACACCTCAGGTCAAGATGACAACGATGTGAGTTATTAATCCAAGACTACAAATCAAGTATTGCAAAGGGAGTGAAAACAAAATTGCTGACTTTTTGACAAGATTTATGGAAAAGTAAACCAAAGCAACAATAAACTAGAGGAAAATAACCTGAATAAATTGAAGGATTTTAATATCCTTGGAGAACTACTTTTTAAGAGAGAAAATCGACCAAAAGCCTTGTGGGTCGTATGCATTCCTACCAAAATAGAAAAAAAAAATATGAAACAATTACGAAACGAAAAAACAAGCCAAAAAAAGCAAGAATGTCAAAGAAAATTTACGGTTCGCGAAAAGAAGATCGAAGATTTAAATCAGCAACATGTGGGATTTACACAACAGGTAGACTACGAATTTAGACAAATGGAACACAAAATAACCAGAAATGAAAGAATAAAAATGATCAAAAGATAACTGACATGGACAACAAAGTAGGAAGAAATACGGAGACCGTATATAAATTATGTTGAAGAAAAATGCTCACTGGATATGGGATTTTGAAATGTTGTAGCACTAGTAACTAGCACTATAGTAGCTCCTGCAAGTAGCGAAATGGTTGCTGATATTTGGATCGAGAATCAACCTACATAAAAGGTAGGAAAAGCATGATTGGTTAGAAGCGAAGAATAATAATTTGGAGTGTCACGCCTGTGCATCAATTAAATATTTGGGACCTCACAACATTCAAGGAATTTCTTTCAGTGGTGAGTGGATCAACTATAATGTAACCTGCAATGGCAAGGACCGAGAGCACCAATTAAAGTCCCTTAGAACAAAAATATCAACCCTAATGCTAATCGAGTATACATACAAATTGTGTCTTATACCAAAGATATTAATTAGTGCCATTAATTAATCAAAGGGCAGATACTGTGGTCAGTGAACTGTTGTATTGTCCCGACTATGACTATCAGAAGATTATCTATAAAAACATCTCATTTGTTTCGCATCGGAGGGCGCAAGTGTAATGTTAGGCAAAAAATCAGGAGTAGCTAAACTCCTTCAGGATATAAGCTCGACAGACCAGACCTGATTTGGCATCAATCAATCACCGCTTTGAATTAGCGGTTTTCGACACAATATCAAATATGAACCACTTTTAAGTTGTAGACATTCAAAAAATTCTTTTTCTAAGACTACACCCCTGACTACAACCAATTGGGGTGCAAGATTAATTGAATATGTAAGCCTACTTATTTGCTATTCTTGGACGTCATTTCATTTCATGTCAGGTCATCTGTAACATGGCCTAATAATTAGGCCATGATCTGTAATGGAACAGGCGCATTATTTTAAATACAGATATGTTAATGTTGATGATATTAAGGTGGCAAAAAACAGTTGATACGCCAATGGCAACCCCAATTAAAAATATCATGTCCACCACTGTGTAGTGAATTCTAATTGGTCGAAAATATGTGACGTTTGTCACATCACCATTTTTAACTCATTTTCAATACACAAAAATCAAAAAGTTAAATAATTAATATTTACATTGTTAATAACCATTAACCGCACTCTAATTGTTGTTTTTTCCAAATTGGTAACTTATTGTAGTATAAAAGGATAAGTGTCACAAACGTAAATGTGCAAATAATCGTCAACTTCTAAACATATTTGGCAACAAACAAAAATGGATATTGCCAAATCCCTCTTCAATCATCGAGACCATGAAGGATACGTTGGTAAAGAAGACCATAATGTAAGCATTATCCTCCCTATGACTTCCATAGTTAGTTCTTTTGTAGAAGCGAGAATTAGAATTGGCAATGTCCGAGGACGATTTGGAGGATGACATTTTCGTGGAGAAGTTTTCCGAAGCTATCAGTATGAGCGACATGTTAACCCCCAGTCCGGGTGGTCCATTCTCAGCACTTACACCTAGTATGTGGCCCCAAGACATAATGGCAAAGCTAACTGTTCCCGACGATCCGAATTCGCAACCGGAATACAGGTGCCGAAATCTCGGTGTGGCGCTATTGTTAAATTTTAAATTAAAGGTTCGACGAGTTCGGATTTCGAGTCGACGAAGAGGACGGTCCCGAGCAAAGCTCGAACAAATTGCTCGGTATTCCGTTTGTCGAAAACGCTCAGCACAGGTTAGGGGATTGTTGAAGGTGTTAAATCTGAAAGAGCACTTTTAGGTTGCAGTGGGTTGCTCACTTGGAGTTTTCGCACAATAAAGAGGTGTCTGATTTGACGTGGGACAAGGTGGAGATGCAGTTGCCAAGAACGGACAAGTTGCGTACGATGGTCAGGGCAGGGATACCTCACTCTTTACGTCCGCAGATGTGGATGCGGCTCTCCGGTGAGATTGGTGTTGGCTTTGATGTAAATGAGTGACGAAACTCGTTCGTAGGTGCATTAAATAAGAAGCAGCAATCGGAAATGAGTTACAAGGAAATTGTACGATTATCTAGCAGCGATTCTTTGATGACATCGAAGCAGATCGAGAAAGATCTACTCCATACGATGCCTACAAATGCCTGCTTTAGTCACATAACAAGTACAGGAATCCCACGGTTAAGACGGATTTTGCGGGGATTGGCATGGTTGTATCCGGATATTGGGTAGTATAGACTTTCTAGGGATGTTGTTTAAGTATGACTTTTAGGTATTGCCAAGGGATGGGGATGATTGTCGCCTCCCTTTTATTGCTATTGGAGGAAGAAGATGCGTTTTGGATCATGGTTACAGTTGTTGAGGACTTACTGCCTGCATCCTATTATAGTTCGACGTTAATAGGTAATGCCATTTTTTTGTCATAAAATGAGGTAGCAAAAATAGTCATTTCTCATTGATAAAAATGAAACAGAAAAGATATCCGTGGATCTATCATCACGAAGTAGCCTGATTCTGAACATCTCATCAGTTTTAAAACTTTTTGTAGTGGAGTTTTATGGTAGGTACACCTGATGATAAAAAATTAGCATTTTTTGGTTTTCTAAGTGTCAAAGAAATATTCTGATTAGGGTTGTTGGTAGCCTTTTTGGAGTTTATCTAAAAAGGCGACTTTATAATAAATAAATTAAACAAATATAGCAAACGAGCTCCTGGGTATGGCTATAGCATGTGCAAAACCAAATTTTAAACCTGATGTTAGTTTTGCTTTTATTTAAAGTGTATATGTATGAAATTTCATTTGAATGCCTCCATAAATAAGCTGCGCATGCGCAAAACCAAATTTTGAAACTGGCGTTAAATTTACTTTTATTCCAAGTGGCTATGTATCAAATTTTATTTAAATCCCTCCATAAATAAGAAAGTTGGCACTGCGCATGCGCAAAACCAAATTTTGAAACTGGCGTTAAATTTGGTTTTATTCCAAGTGGCTATGTATCAAATTTCATTTAAATACCTTCATAAATAAGAAAGTTTGCAATTCGGTCTGTAAATGGTCGAGATGCTCAACTTTTGGAATTGTGTTTTATATGACTAAAGCTATGCGCATATTGAATTTCATGCAATTCGGTTCATAACTAACGGAGATGTCAAAAGGGCCTTCTTTATTTTTTGGCCTACATTGCCAATCGACGAACTCCGATCTACAAATTTTATAAAGAATCCACCTGCAAAATTTCATCGTAATCGGTCCATTCGTTTATGAGTTATCGTGCTAACGGACGGACGGACGGACAGACAGACACCGCAAAATTATAAACTCGCTAGGAGCTCGTTAATAAAAGATGAAGGATTTTTCCTTTTGTCATTAAGAAAAACTAGTTTTCCTTTTTTCTCTCTAATGATACAATTTTGCTTTATTCAGACAATATGTACTTTTAAAAATCCGATACAACTGATCACTGAACGATCCTCGAGTTCTGCGCACATACATCATTTTTAACGCACCCTAAGCTAAGGGATTGATTCTGTCCCATCAGATCAGTATAGCTTGTACAACAAATTTTTGAAACAGCATTAGTTTTACTTTTATTCGAGGTCCGTGTACACAAAATTTCATTTAAATATCTTAACAAATAAAAATTTAGAATTGCGCATGCGCAAAACACATTTTTTGATTCGGCATTAGTTTTACTTTTATTCGAGGTGCCTACGTACAAAATTTCATTTAAATATCTTAACAGATAACAAAATTCGGATTGCGCAAATACAAAAGTTGGATTGCGTATGACATCCATATGTTCTTTGTAACAAGAATTATAAAAGAAACCTTTTTTTGGAAGTTTGGACAGTTTTTGGGGTGTAACTTTTTGGCCCGTTAGTCTACATAGCCGAAAAACAATAGCGACCTTTCTTATATCCTTAAGAACATGTGTATCAATTTTCAAAGGGATCAGACGTTTCTACACAAAGTGCAAAGTGCACATGGACAGAGACAGCAATACAAAATTATAAACGATCTCGAGGATCGTTAATAAAATTTCTTAAATAGAAACTGATCGTTATTTTATATACAAAATTTAAAAAAATTACGTTACCTGAATTATAGCGTTTTATGGAATCGATGGTTTCCCTACAGTGCAAATCATTACTGCCCTTCTCCAAGGGATGGTGGACAATGTATAATGAGACATGAATCTCCAAAAGGATTACTACTGTTTTCTTGAATTGTTTTTCTCTTCTCTTCTTGTGTACTTGATTAATTTTCTGCTTTTGCAATATAATTTATTAATAGCTTGTTTCTTTTGTATGAAAAAGAAGGTGTACTATGAGCCTAGGGGTTGTCCCGGGTTTTCTTTGGTCGATGGTGAGAGAGCCTGTACGATGCGATATGATCCGTGCCTAAGGGATCAAAACTTCGCGCTGCTTCCCTTCTTTTTATTGCTTTGGGCGTGTATTGTAACCCATACTAAAACTTCTGGCGCGTATGGTACAGCTGTCCATCTTTGGATGCCGCCGACCTTTTTCTTGAGCCGTTTTTTGGTTGAGCCTATACTGTATTCATTTTAAGAAGGTAGCGGTAGAAAGCACAGGGAAGCTTTGACCTTCACTGTGATTGGTTAAAACACGAGTCAGTATTACGCTGAAACATAAAACGACTGGCGAATTTTGTAAGCTGGTAGCTTATGTTACCAACTAAACTGCCGAAATGTCATTAGCTGTTAATGTCAAAGATTTATTTCTGTTCGCAGTACTGGATATTTCTACTTTACAATTATTTGGTACCGTTTTATATTTTTCCTGTGTGTGTTTATCTTCAAACACAGCGCCATCTACTACCTTCTTATAATGAATGCAGTATAGCTTCACAGTGGAAGCTTCTTAATTTTGGGGATGAAGTTATCGGATAGGATGACTGCGCGCTGGTTCTTAGTGCAGTAGTCCGGTGTTCTTAATGCGCGCTGGGGTGAATCCGGTTGACTGGCAGTGAATCGTGTTCATATCGAACCTTATGGGAGCCAAGTGACCGGGTCAGTTGGAATGGTTACATTTAACCAGGATTAAGGATGGTACACTGGGGTGAGCGATTGCGTAATTCCTAGACAGTGTGTAATATGCGGCATGGTGCTACTTACAAACTGTGTGCTGTTGTCGCTTCGTATTCGCTTTGTGGTCACGTCTTCTATGTCTGCCATGAAGAGCGCTAGACGGTAACCTTCGCAGGGGTGCAATGGGGTGTGTAGGTAGCGCGTCTTTAAAAATGCTGTACAGCTCTGAATCGGTGTCTGGAGGCTATCTGGGCAACGATGGAGGGCCTGGAGTTAGTGTGGATGGGTTCGGACTTCTCCCGAACAGCCGTAAGCTTTGATAGCGTGCTGTCCTAGGATCTCTGGGATGTTTAGGATTAAATTTGCATCCTCTATGAAATCAACCCTGAGAACGGTTCGCTTTTTGGCTTCTGGTAGGACCAAGAATTTCGTTAAGATCATGCAGTCCATAAGGAGCACACGGACACCGTAGTGAGGCGGGGTTTCCCGGCAGCATGATTCACTTCGTGGGAACCGAAAGGACGTTTTGCGGCATGTAACACTTGGTATATGCAATCTCGGCGGCACCTGCGATCCCGATGTTAATTAATTCATGGGTCGTATTCTCAATGTAGTAGAGGGAGTGGTATTCGTTAGGAAAAAGTCTCGCGTTTTCGCGGCAGTTTGGGCACTGACTTCGAATTACTCCAACTATACCACATCCAAAGCATGCCAGGGGCGTGGTGTCTGGGTTTTGTAACGTTGTTAGGATCATCTGTATCGGTGGTTTGAGTTGTGCTGCCTCTTCTATCCTTTTCTCTTCCTACATTCCTCCTTTGTGTGTCCCAGACCGCGCACCTTGGTTTCTTAGAGGTGATGGTGGGTTTGGGTCATGGACAATCGACTTCTTCAATTCCTCATAGCTCGTGCTGGATTGGTTGAAAGTGGTGAAGGCGGTGCGAGGTATTTTTTTCGTACACGGCGGTGTAATAGTCCGTGTACTGTGTGAAGCTGCACCGTTTCACTTATTTCATCCTCGATTCGGGCGAGAAGAGCTCTTTTTGGTGATTACACGTTGGGTGGGGTCGGTCTCACCTGGTTCTTGCTCGAATATTTACCGTAGTATCTGGTATGGCGGCTTTAGTAACATGGTGGTTACATGAGGTTACTGTTCGCTTTATACCTAACCACCATGTCACAGCTTCTATTTGCGGCAACATTGACATCCCGAGTGCGTTTGGATGTGCTGATGGACTGGATCAGCTCCTTCAGCATATCCCTGGTCATCGCGAATGTGGTGGCGTTGCTGTTGATTGCTTCCATTTTCGTCGCCGTGCCGCGTGTGATCGTAGACGTTGTTACACTTATGGAGGCCCCACGTTGGGCGTCAGTTGTTGATTGTGGTTTGGTTGGTGAATGCGTAACCGCACAATAAGACTCCTTGTTAAGAAAACGTATTTTATTTAGACACTAAGGGGAACTATTTACAGGGGGGAAAACACTATTACATATATCACCTAATTAATTAATAAAGTTCCTGAGGTCTATATGCCGACAAATAGCGTAACGCGCGCGCTTCACACTTAAGCACAACTTGATCCGGAACGCGAAAACACACCCCTAACTTGCACGGCGATAGCGGACCTTATCTGTTCCTTGGATTATGTTACCAGATGCGAGTGTCCTCTTACGGGGGTCTAAGACAACAATTGTCTTCGAACGATAAAAATCGTCTAGTATTGTCGGCGTCGGGCGACCATTTAATTTTAGGTCCGTGAAGTTGCTCCTGGAAGTTGAACCAATTGTGTCAATTTACAATGTACCTGTTAGTTTTTAGTTGGTTTTCATTAGTTTTGGCAAGAATGACGTTAGTTTCTCTTTGGTACTAATGTTATCCCAAAATCAAAATTGTCCGGGCGTGCTTCGCATTTTCCGCAACATGTGCTAGAATTGTTAGTTCAGAGGTAATTTTGGATAAAGATGCGTTGGTTTCTCTAAGTTTTGATTAAACCGTCGTTTGTTTTCTCTTCTTTCTTGTTAAAAAAATTTTTTAATTTGTCCGGGAATACCTCACACTTCACTGGTAATTAGTTGAATTGTTAGTTTAAACACCATTTTCGATTGAATGGTGTTAGTTTCTATAAGTTTTCATAAAATCGTCGTTTGTTTTCCCTTAAATAATTGATTAATCATTAAAGGGTTAATGATATATGCGTCCATCAAAGCCATTTGCAATTAGAGCTTGCTACATAAGACATGGCACTCATTTAAAAGATATTGTTCACACTTAGCTAATTGTTGAGTATGTGAGTAGTGAGTTTATCTACAGTATCCAATAAAAATTTATAATTATCTTAAGCTTTTTCTGTGTTTTTCTGAACGTCAAATGTAGAACCTCTCGCCCCTAACCAACACATAGATTTCGACACGTTTTGTACAAACGCTTATTATTATTTTGTCACCAAGGGAGATTGAGCGTATCTCCATTTCTAGTTGGTTGACAGATGGATGTACGGGCATCATAATTACAAATTGAACTCAGGGTAGAGCCTTCGCTACCTAATAGATGCAAATAAACCACAATAAACATAATGAGTGAGTTTACACAACGTGAAACAATGTGAACTAGCAAAACACGCAATATGAGGCTAGGATTGATGTTCTTCTTACCGATACTTGCCTAATTGCTCGCCAATTATAGGTCTTCCGTTGGACAATTCGTTGAAGACTTCCCATTGTTCGTGGGCAGGTCTTGTGAATGCTTCGTAATGACCCGGTAGGTAGGTAACGATTCCGGAAAGAATGTAATTTTTCCCAAGAATTAACATCTGCTCGGGAAAATCGGTAAGCGTATATTCTATATCACTTTCTGCCTTTAGCTCTGGTACCGTTAGGTGATCGACAACTATGAAAAGATGATTTCCTAGCCCACATGAAAGAGTTGATTGACCTTCGCATGATAATATGACAATATCGATTTTTGCAGTGCAACAAAATCTTCCTTTAAGAGAATATTCATATTGCTTTTCAAAACTACCATTTCTTCTCTGGCATCATGTATTTTACATTCGGGTCTAGTAAATCTTGTTTCCATTGTAACACTAGGACCTCCTTGGAGCAGTTTCCGATAATGAAGATAATGCAACTATAAAGATATTATGTGAAATGGATGGTGACTTATGTGAAGAAGGTGGTAGTATACGCCAGTGGGTTATAGAAATGCAAAAACAAATACGTGAAGAAAGCGGAAAATCGGAACATGGACGTCCAAATCCGTACTATTTTCCGAGTTTGCAGACCCCCTTTGTAAATTAGCATATCGGCTACCCCTATGGGCTGCTGTTCTTGTCAAATCTTTTAATTATCCAAATTTAACCGCATCAACTGCAACAGTAGAAAGTGATTTCAATGGTACTTCGGAAACTGCTCCAAGGATGTCCTAGTGTTACAATGGAAACAAGATTTATTAGACCTGAATGTAAAATACATGATGCCAGAGAAGAAATGGTAGTTTTGAAAAGCAATATTTATATTCTCTCAAAAGAAGATTTTGTTGCACTGCAAAAATCGATATTGTCATATTGTCATGCGAAGGTCAATCAACTCTTTCATGTGGGCTAGGAAATCATCTTTTCATAGTTGTCGATCACCTAACGGTACCAGAGCTAAAGGCAGAAAGTGATATAGAATATACGCTTACCGATTTTCCCGAGCAGATGTTAATTCTTGGGAAAAATTACATTCTTTCCGGAATCGTTGTCTACCTACCGGGTCATTACGAAGCATTCACAAGACCTGCCCACGAACAATGGGAAGTCTTCAACGATTTGTCCAACGGAAGACCTATAGTTGGCGAGCAATTAGGCAAGTATCGGTAAGAAGAACATCAATCCTAGCCTCATATTGCGTGTTTTGCTAGTTCACATTGTTTCACGTTGTGTAAACTCACTCATTATGTTTATTGGGGTTTATTTGCATCTATTAGGTAGCGAAGGCTCTACCCTGAGTTCAATTTGTAATTATGATGCCCGTACATCCATCTGTCAACCAACTAGAAATGGAGATACGCTCAATCTCCCTTGGTGACAAAATAATAATAAGCGTTTGTACAAAACGTGTCGAAATCTATGTGTTGGTTAGGGGCGAGAGGTTCTACATTTGACGTTCAGAAAAACACAGAAAAAGCTTAAGATAATTATAAATTTTTATTGGATACTGTAGATAAACTCACTACTCACATACTCAACAATTAGCTAAGTGTGAACAATATCTTTTAAATGAGTGCCATGTCTTATGTAGCAAGCTCTAATTGCAAATGGCTTTGATGGACGCATATATCATTAACCCTTTAATGATTAATCAATTATTTAAGGGAAAACAAACGACGATTTTATGAAAACTTATAGAAACTAACACCATTCAATCGAAAATGGTGTTTAAACTAACAATTCAACTAATTACCAGTGAAGTGTGAGGTATTCCCGGACAAATTAAAAAATTTTTTTAACAAGAAAGAAGAGAAAACAAACGACGGTTTAATCAAAACTTACAGAAACTAACGCATCTTTATCCAAAATTACCTCTGAACTAACAATTCTAGCACATGTTGCGGAAAATGCGAAGCACGCCCGGACAATTTTGATTTTGGGATAACATTAGTACCAAAGAGAAACTAACGTCATTCTTGCCAAAACTAATGAAAACCAACTAAAAACTAACAGGTACATTGTAAATTAACACAATTGGTTCAACTTCCAGGAGCAACTTCACGGACCTTTTAATTTTTGCTTGCTATTAATAATGAATCTAATTAGTTTAAAACGCGTTCCTTGGCAATATATGCCAATTAATTAGGGAGTGCCTACACTAAACGATGACCAAAACCCGTAATTAAATCACCAGTTTAACTATTTGTTTTATTGTTATAGGCATTCAGGCGGATCAGCGGGTTTTACACACACTAATTTCGAACTACCTGCCAGAAGTGGACGAGGTGTTAAAGAATCACGACATCGAATTATCATTGATCACCTCACACTGGTTCCTGACGTTATTTGCGAGCGTGGTACACATGAAAATTCTTCTGCACATCTGGGATCTATTTTTTTTCAGCGGTTCGTTAGTATTATTTCAAGTTACTTTGGGCATGCTGAAGATGAAGGAACCGTATTTGAGGACGTTAGAAAATTCCGCGCAAATCTTCAACGCACTCTCCGACATACCCGGCGATATAGACGACGTCGATAAACTGCTCGAGGTGTCTTTGCAAGTGGCGAGTTCGCTCAACGAAGTGATGATTGAGACTTATCGTCGTCGACATTTAGCCTACCTCATGGCCGATCAAGGTGCTTTAGTTGGTAATCCTGAAGCCGTGCCTAATTTACCGAAGCAGCATTTGGCGAGGTATTATTTTGTTTTACGGTCAAAGGAAACTTATGTTTCTGTCAATGAAAAAACCACCGCTAGGGGGCTTGAAAAAATCCTAACTAGAATAAGGTAGTTTTTGAGAGATACATGAGTATACTTTGGCTCACTCTGCACTCTATACTATCTCAGTCGAATTTCAGGCGACAAATAAAGAAATCGAAGTCGGTTATCCAGCTTTTATTATTTAACGAAAACAACGAAAACGACATCAAATCGAAGAATATAAAACAAACGGAGCTGCTGGTCGACTTACGAGAAGGTATCCTTCAAATCGCCCGACATTTCATGCAACTGGAACCGAAATTGAATGCGGAAGTGCTACTCGTCGCCGATTATACGATGGAAAGTCACACGACAGATCACGCCAATTACATCAACGTCTCCAAAAATCGAAAGCGGCGCGCGAAAGCTCTATTAGGTAGGAATGCGGTTTCGATGCGAGTATAATAATAACGTTGCTACGCAGATTTTGAAAGACACGATGACGATGAGTTGGGATTTCGAAAGAACGATATCATCACGATCATCAGTCAGAAGGATGAACACTGTTGGATTGGTGAACTAAATGGTCTTCGAGGTAATTTATCGGTATCACAAAATATCCTTTTATTGTCTTATTTCAAATTAACGTATAGTACAATTATATTCCGCTAGGTGGCAGTATTGTAGCAGTAGCAAGCCATTGAATTTATAATGTCTCAGAAGTGCCGAGCTGATCCTTTCGCCATTGAAAATGCACTAGGTAGCAGATTATAATTAATTTAAATAACGTCCAACCCCTAAAAACTTATTTTGAAAATTTATGTAAATGCTAAGGGTACGAACGATTTGTGGGAGAAATGTATAACACTGGGGAGTATTCCATAACAGCCGGACCATGTGGGCGCAGTTGAGTTGAAGTTCGGGTACCATACTAAAGGTCCCTGGTTCAAATCCGGGTTGGTAGAGCAGCCTTGGCTGAAACCCCGCCCACTCAAAAATAAAATCCCCCCCCCCCCGGCGATGCCTTTACCACCAAAACGTTTCATCCTAAAAACTGGCTAGAAAATATGGTTTAGACACTAAAGAATTTCGGGAGGAATGCCAGGGGGTATAGAAAGTCAATCTTCATTTACCTACAACTGATATAAGACCTTAGTACACTAGGGGGTATTCCATAACCCCCCGGGCCCCCCGACAAGACCTTCGCCAACAAACCTTTCAGCCCTAAAAATTTGTTCGAAAAATTATGTAAATGCTAAGGGTACTAATGATTTTTGGGAGAATGTATAACTGGGGGGGTCAGGGCCAGGAGAAAGACTTCATTTACCTACATCCCCAGACCCCGTGATACCTTCACCTCTAAAACGTTCCGTCCTAAAAACTCGAAAATTTATTGTGTAAATGCTAAGGGACTAAGTATTTTCGGGAGGTATGTATAACCAGAGGGTCTGGGGGTATTGAAAGTCAATCTTCATTTACCTACAACTGACATACCACCTTTGTACACTGGGGAATACCCCCCAAAGCCCCCGGTAATACCTTCAAAACGTACAGTCTTACAAACTCGCTCGAAAAATTATGGTGTACATACTAAGAGTACTAATGATTATGGTGAAAAATGTACAATTCAATACCCCCAGGAAAAAACCAGTCAATCTTCATTTACCTACAACTGACTTAAGACCTTTGTGCACTGGGGGGAGGCGGGGTATTCCATAGTCCCCAGACCCTCGGTGATACCTTCACTCCCTAAAAACTCGTTCGAAAATGTATACTGCAAATGCTAAGAGTACTAACGATTTTTGGAGGAACGTATAATTGGAGGGTCTGGGAAATATCCTCCAGGAAAAAGAAAGTCAATCTTCACTTACCTACAACTGACACAAGAATGAAGGTGTCTTTAGGGCAAAGGAGATTTGGTGATTTGGCAAATTGGAAATTTTTGTTATTGGTCGAGTGCGGTCACGTGATCTAAAAGCCGTGAGCGGAAATTCCTATTAGCTAAACAGAAAACACCCCCACCTTTCAAATGATCGAAAAACCAATTACCCAAATCTCTGTCGCACTCAAGGCACCTTGAGTGGGTATTCCATACTGGCTGGCACGTGCAGTAACGCAGTTGAGTTGAAGCTCGGATGCGTACTAGGGTCTTTGGTTTGATCCGGTTTCGGGCATGAATATTTGTAAATGTATAGTGGGTTGGGTTGGTAGAGCAGCCTTGGCTGAAACCCCGCCCACTCAAAAATAAATACTCCCCAGACTCCCACCTTCACCCCCAAAATGTTGAGCCCTAAAAACTCGTTCGCAAATGTATGGTAGAAACGCTAAGGGTACTAACGATTTTTGGGAGGAGTTGTGACTAGATTAACGAGCACTGTTGCACGTTTTTTCAATGAAAAAATAAGTTGGCAGAAGATATGCAGTAGGCGCTCAGTAGTCCGGTACCCAAATTTTTTCGCCGATGTCGGATTCTATTTCTATTCTCTTCACAGGGGAGTCCTACCAGGCAGCACTTGGGTACACCAAAGACCCATTGTGTCTACCCCTCCTTTCTTTTGCAACATTTACGAGAGAACACAAAAAAAATTATCGACTATGGCGAACTAATTAGAATTATTAATTTAATAAAGCGTAAATTTCGTGTTGGCCCGAGTATGACAATGGAATTTGGAATATACCGAAAATAAATAAAGATATCAGTTTCAGGCGATGATTTATTGGGGTTTAATTGCACCTGCATATGAAAAACGAATTGAGATGCGGCGGTATTTTTTTGTGAGTTGCGGTAAACTTTGCAACTACCAGTTTTGTAGTTTTTTATTTGGATGGCACTTAATTAAATAATATATAGAGCATCCTATTTATCTTGAAACAGTAATTATTGCGAAAACTAGCGGGAATATCACAAAAAGATCTTCATATGGAGGGGTCCGTTTATTGATGCTATGCACATTTTCACATAACTGTCCGTTAAGATTCAAGAGTAGGGCGTGCTTAATTTTTTCAAATAGAAACCTATACTTTTTATTGAATACTCTTAGTCTACATAATAAAGTTTCGTGGGAAACGTTTTTTCCTTACACCTACTATTTTTTTTAATGCAAAACACATGTCTTTTGCTGTGTACTCTTTTCATATTAGCGGCACATCTGATTCATTAAGTCAGATAAAAAATGAATTTAATGAAAAATCCATTATTAATCCTCACATCTTGCAGGTTGGTTTCCGGCAAAGTTCGTCGAGCTTCTTGACGAGAGGAGCAAGCAGTACAGTAGCGCGGGGGACGACAGCATTTCGGAAACGGTTACTGATCTAGTTAGGGGGACGTTATGTCCTGTTGTTAAACAAATTCTAGAGCACGGAATGAAGCGACCTAATTTTTTAGGTTTGTCGTTTTATTTCGTATTGTATTATATATCCAATATTCAATGTCACTTAGATTATACATCCATGTGATAGTGTTGCGCACTATCTTTAAAGAATAAGATTTTAATTTCCCGCATCCAAGGGGCGTCTCTTCAAATCGCGCATTTGGTCAGTTACATTGTGCTGCCATCTGAAACTAGTAGGCGAAGTTCTCAAATACTCTTATCATCACCATCAGGATTTTAGGTTTTTAGATAGAGAATTCTGAGACCACTATTTTAAAACATGATTTGGTAAAACGTTTATTAAGTTCTATCATAATTATATGAAGTGTCCAATCCGAAAATATCACTCCCTCTTTGTCTCTACCCATTGTCTGCCCACTCCGGTACTTCTCTAAGGAATGAGTATAAACATAATAGGTTACTTATTCAATGGTATAGAGAGACAATGGACGAATATCATTTAAATTAAAATCTTATTTTTTAAACATAGTGCGCAACAGTACTATAGGGTGTATAATTTAAATGACATTTTCAGATTGGTCACTTCACTTAACGTAAGTTCGCGTGATCACTAAGTTTACGGTATCTTTTGCAGGAGGTCCGTGTCATCCTTGGCTGTTTATTGAGGAAGCGGCAACTAAGGAAGTTGAAAAAGATTTTAATTCCGTTTATAGTCGCCTAGTTCTTTGCAAGACATATCGATTAGATGAGGATGGTAAGGTGCTTACGCCAGAGGAGGTGATTGTCTTTGGTATCTAAATTGTTTCTGATTAATGGCGTTTCAGTTGCTGTATCGATGTGTACAAGCCATAAACTTATCGCACGATAATGCGCATGCGCAGATGGACGTGAAATTACGGTCTTTAGTTTGTATGGGTCTTAACGAGCAAGTTCTTCATTTATGGTTAGAGGTGCTGTGTTCGTGTAGCGAAGTAGTTCAAAAATGGTTAGTTTGAGGTTTGCCACACATTTTTCTAATTTTTCATTTTAGGTATCATCCTTGGTCTTTTGTGTTTAGTCCTGGTTGGGTGCAGATTAAATGTGAACTTCGAATCTTGTCGCAGTTATCCTTCAACTTGAATCCTGATTGGGAATTACCAGTGAAAAAAGATGTAAATAATCAACCTCTCAAAGATGGTGTACGTGATATGTTAGTTAAGCATCATCTTTTTAGTTGGGATATATAGAAGTATTAGTTAATTTTATATTAAGGTGTTTCAGCTTTAAAAATTAATTATTTTTCTAATTTATTTTAATTTTTAAATAAAATATCAATCTGTCCATACACATGCCTTTTAAATAATCTTAAATTAATTTAAATGTACAATGTAATGTCTGAGTCTGTATATATATTGCGCTATTGTAAATGTATCGATGGTCTGTATATTGTGCATTTAATTAATATTTCATCCCCTTTTAAGACAAATAGTGATAAGCAGTAACTGCCACGTTGACCTTTTTTTATGTCAGTATCGTCCTTCACAGTACTTTACTACTGTTCTTGTTCGTAATTGCACCAATGGATAAATAAAAGAGAATAAGGACACAAACATTCTTACCTACCTATTAGCAGGGGAGCCCGACCAAGCAGCACTTGGGCACACCAAAGGTCCATTTTTCCTATCCCCTTTCTTTCGCAACTGGGTTTAGAGCCCTTCCTTTCCATGACCCTGTTATGATAGTTGACCATCTCTTAATCTGGCTTGTATTCAGATTTAGAAGACCACGGTGATAGTTCGGTTAGCTCAAAAATCTTTATCAGGAGAATATAATGTGCGAGGAGATTAAATGTTAGGATAAACAATTAGAGAGGTTAGGTTAGGGTGATAGTTAGGTTAGGTCAAATTAGTTTGCCAAAATTTTAGACGCCTAAACCAATTTCTAACTATCACCCTAACCTAACCTCACTAATTTTTTATCCTAACCTTCAATCTCCTCGCACATTATATTCTCCTGATACAAGATTTTTGAGCTAACCTAACTATCACCCTAACCTAACCTCACTAAAAATTTTTCCTAACCTTAATCTCCTCGAACATTATATTCTCCTGATACAAGATTTTTGAGCTAACCTAACTATCACCCTAACCTAACCTCACTAAAAATTTTTCCTAACCTTAATCTCCTCGCACATTATATTCTCCTGATACAAGATTTTTGAGCTAACCTAACTATCACCCTAACCTAACCTCACTAAAAATTTTTCCTAACCTTAATCTCCTCGCACATTATATTCTCCTGATACAAGATTTTTGAGCTAACCTAACTATCACCCTAACCTAACCTCACTAAAAATTTTTCCTAACCTTAATCTCCTCGCACATTATATTCTCCTGATACAAGATTTTTGAGCTAACCTAACTATCACCCTAACCTAACCTCACTAAAAATTTTTCCTAACCTTAATCTCCTCGCACATTATATTCTCCTGATACAAGATTTTTAAGCTAACCTAACTAGTATACTCTAAACGGCTAACCCAACCTCACCAAATGACCAAACTCCGAATCACCTCGTGCGAGAACAACCAGACCCTTAGGAGTTGAAGGAGGTGGTTTGGAAACCTCCTACAATTTTTAGAAACTACACACCTAAAGCAAAGAATACTATACTCTTTGCCTAAAGGTGGAACAGGAAAAGCCAGCTTTTATAGATTCTTCAAAGTTGTCATCCGAGTGAGAACCTGACGACAGTTAAACGGCGCTTGGAGGTGCAGAATTCCTGGGCAAAAGTAGGAAGCTGTCAGGAGGAATGGGGTAGTAGGAAGTCCTGGACAAGTAGACAAGATTCCCAAAGTCTAGAAATGGCACCTGAGAAAGTCTATAACTTTTTTTTGAGAAGTCTGATCGAAAAAGTACGAATTGTTTTGGATTCTACGCACCAAAATTAATAAGAAAAAGTCTTTGCTACATTTACTCTACAGATCTTGCAAGACTCCCTACATTTTGAACTGCCATTCATTCAGACTTCTCAATCAAAAGTTATAGACTAGAAAAGAAACCAATTTCGAAAGAAAATTCAAAGGGCTGTAACTTTTGAACTAGTAGCCCAATCTCGGAACTGTTTGAAATTATGGATTCTACAGGCCACGTTCTAAAAGAAAATTTTTTTTCCGGGTCGATCTGAAACAATTTTTTATGAGAGCTTCAAAAAAAGATAGTGTACAACCTTCCTTTTTTAGCAAAAATCGACTGCACCAAAATTTCTCGGGAAAACACTTTTTCTTATTAATTTTGGTGCGTAGAATCCAAAACACTTCGTACTTTTTCGATCAGACTTCTCAATCAAAAGTTATAGACTAGAAAAGAAACCAATTTCGAAAGAAATTCAAAGGGCTGTAACTGTTGAACTAGTAGCCCAATCTTGGAACTGTTTGAAATTATGGATTCTACAGGCCACATTCTATTAGAAAAATTTTTTTCCGGGTCGATCTGAGACAATTTTTTTTGAGGGCCTCAAAAAAAGGCAGTGTACAACCTTCCTTTTTTACCAAAAATCGACTGCACCAAAATTTCTTGGGAAAACACATTATCTTATTAATTTTGGTGCGTAGAATCCAAAACACTTCGTACTTTTTCGATCAGACTTCTCAATCAAAAGTTATAGACTAGAAAATAAACCAATTTCGAAATAAAGTTCAAAGGGCTGTAACTGTTGAACTAGTAGCCCAATCTTGGAACTGTTTGAAATTATGGATTCTGTAGGCCACATTCTATAAGAATAATTTTTTCCCGGCTCGATCTGAGACAATTTTTTTTGAGGGCCTCAAAAAAAGGCAGTGTACATACAACCTTCCTTTTTTAGCAAAAATCGACTGCACCAAAAATTTCTCGGGAAAACACTTTTTCTTATTAATTTTGGTGCGTAGAATCCAAAACAATTCGTACTTTTTCGATCAGACTTCTCAATCAAAAGTTATAGACTAGAAACCAATTTCGAAAGAAAATTCAAAGGGCTGTAACTTTTGAACTAGTAGCCCAATCTTGGAACTGTTTGAAATTATGGATTCTACAGGCCACATTCTATAAGAAAATTTTTTTTCCGGGTCGATCTGAGACAATTTTTTTTTCGGGCTCAAAAAAAGGCAGTGTATAACCTTCCTTTTTTACCAAAAATCGACTACACCAAAATTTCTCGGGAAAACACTTTTTCTTATTAATTTTGGTGCGTAGAATCCAAAACAATTCGTACTTTTTCGATCAGACTTCTCAATCAAAAGTTATAGACTAGAAAATAAACCAATTTCGAAATAAAGTTCAAAGGGCTGTAACTGTTGAACTAGTAGCCCAATCTTGGAACTGTTTGAAATTATGGATTCTACAGGCCACATTCTATTAGAAAAATTTTTTTCCGGGTCGATCTGAGACAATTTTTTTTTCGGGTCGATCTGTAACAATTTTTTATGAGGGCCTCAAAAAAAGGCAGTGTACAACCTTCCTTTTTTTAGCAAAAATCGACTGCACCAAAATTTCTCGGGAAAACACCTTTTCTTATTAATTTTGGTGCGTAGAATCCAAAACAATTCGTACTTTTTCGATTAGATTTTTCAATCAAAAGTTATAGACTAGAAACCAATTTCGAAAGAAAATTCAAAGGGCTGTAACTTTTGAACTAGTAGCCCAATCTTGGAACTGTTTGAAATTATGGATTCTACAAGCCACGTTCTATAAGAAAATTTTTTTTTCCGGATCGATGTGAGACAATTTTTTTTTCGGGTCTCAAAAAAGGCAGTGTATAACCTTCCTTTTTTACCAAAAATCGACTACACCAAAATTTCTCGGGAAAACACTTTTTCTTATTAATTTTGGTGCGTAGAATCCAAAACAATTCGTACTTTTTCGATCAGACTTCTCAATCAAAAGTTATAGACTAGAAACCAATTTCGAAAGAAAATTCAAAGGGCTGTAACTTTTGAACTAGTAGCCCAATCTTGGAACTGTTTGAAATTATGGATTCTACAGGCCACATTCTATAAGAAAAATTTTTTTCCGGGTCGATCTGAGACAATTTTTTTTTCGGGGCTCAAAAAAAGGCAGTGTATAACCTTCCTTTTTTACCAAAAATCGACTACACCAAAATTTCTCGGGAAAACACTTTTTCTTATTAATTTTGGTGCGTAGAATCCAAAACAATTCGTACTTTTTCGATCAGACTTCTCAATCAAAAGTTATAGACTAGAAAATAAACCAATTTCGAAATAAAGTTCAAAGGGCTGTAACTGTTGAACTAGTAGCCCAATCTTGGAACTGTTTGAAATTATGGATTCTACAGGCCACATTCTATTAGAAAAATTTTTTTCCGGGTCGATCTGAGACAATTTTTTTTGAGGGCCTCAAAAAAAGGCAGTGTACAACCTTCCTTTTTTAGCAAAAATCGACTGCACAAACATTTCTCGGGAAAACACTTTTTCTTATTAATTTTGGTGCGTAGAATCTAAAACAATTCGTACTTTTTCGATCAGACTTCTCAATCAAAAGTTATAGACTAGAAACCAATTTCGAAAGAAAATTCAAAGGGCTGTAACTTTTGAACTAGTAGCCCAATCTTGGAACTGTTTGAAATTATGGATTCTACAGGCCACATTCTATAAGAAAATTTTTTTCGGGTCGATCTGAGACATTTTTTTTTCGGGGCAAAAAAAAGGCAGTGTATAACCTTCCAAGATTGGGCTACTAGTTCAAAAGTTACAGCCCTTTGAATTTTCTTTCGAAATTGGTTTCTAGTCTATAACTTTTGATTGAGAAGTCTGATCGAAAAAGTACGAATCGTTTTGGATTCTACGCACGCTGTGCTGCGCGCAATGAGCACTAAAAGGTAGGAGAATGTGTATAGAGGGGCAATGGTCAAGTCAGCTAGACGCGAGTAGGGGAAAATTAAATTCTTATTCTTTAAACATAGTGCGCAAGGGTACTACATGGGTGTACTACAGGGTGTATAATCTAAGTGATATTGAGGATTGGACACATATAACAAATTTATTTATCTATTTTGGCTAGTTCTACAAGCGAAAATTCCTATTCCAATTTGAATCAATCAGAGACCAGTAGTTTTTCTATCCTTGCCACACAAAAGGAAAAAATAAAGGTACCCACCTACTAAACTCTCCAAATTTTTAAAGTGCAAGCGAAAGGGGGTAAAGTAAAAAAAGGCATATAGAGATGTTTTCTATTCAGTATTTGAAATAAGTCCATTCAGTCTTTTATAATAAACATATAGTAGTACATGACCATTCATATTATTGCAAATGCAATTGAGTTACACACAGTACTATGAATACACTGTGCACACACACTGAATATGTACACTGTTACCGCATGCCCGTTTAAAAATCAAAAGCAGGCATTTCAAGTTTGATTGGAACTGAAATGTTCAAGAAGCGTTTTAAACTATAGTGATTTCACTGGCGGCATTTATAAGTGAAATTGAGAAATGGAAAAATGAATCACAAAGTACCTACATAATTTAGCGTGGATAATAAATAAATAACTGCAACCATCTCAATTTGACCTATAAATGTGCAGAGCTTTTTAGAGAACATTCCTTGAACTTTCTGCTGTTGCCCAAATTGTAATGGAAATGACTTTATAATTTAACAGCTACACTCACTGTATAGCTGTAAAACGTCTTAAAACATAATTAAAGCTTTAAAGAATGTTCGGTTTCAACATAGTTATAAAAATTACAATGGCGCCGATTAATTAAAATTCATACTTATAACGTGTATAGGAGTATAAAAACATTACTTAAAATTGATTTATAAAAAATGTTAAATAAATAAACATATCGCTGGCAAATTATAAACATATTTCGAGATTTATATAAAAATAGGTTGTTCTTTTACATTCTACTAAAAAAGTTTCTGAGAAAATGTTCTGCAAAAATCTCTACCTAGTGGAAAAAATTCCACCACAAATGTACGCAATAATTATTAGACAGTGGAACAAAAGTTATGAGCTGGGTGCAATAACAGTTTAGTTCTCTTGCAGTTGCAATTGACACAGTTCTGTTCACTAAGAAAATGTACACAGCCTTGTAACACATACACACCAACACTGATACGACCCATGTACAGTATGTACAAATTGAGACATCGATGATTGAGAGGTCGCATATAACACTACACCCTGCTGCTTCCTTAATTTCGGAAGACAATCATCATGATTGCATCAAACAAAATATAAAAATATTAAACTGTACAAAGGTAAATATAAGGTACATTCATTATACAATTATCAAAAAGCAGTAGACTTTGTGATGTAACATAAATATCCGTAATATGTACTAACGCTGACGATCAGCATTCAAAAGCAAACCATAAATTCACTGTCCGATGATAAAAATATAGTATACTAATTTTATGGAGACAGCACATCACTCACTTCTACCAGAGGCACTTAAAGTCGCTGAGTGCGCACCAACCCCAACACTGAACAATTAAACAGCGATCCAACAACACATATAAAAAGTTTGATGGATATGTAAACTCAGGTCACTCGACCACTTTATCAGCAAGCGAGCTCCTGAGGCGCCGACGGTCGCGGCATTGTTGTAGGTGATAATGGAGGCGCAGTGGGATGCGTCAGATCGGGCCAGTATCACGGTTGCACATCCGCCGCCATTATATTATGAACTTGCTCTAACTTGTAGGCCAGCCGTTGCTTCTGCGAAAACTCATCCTCTTCTAAGGTTACCATCAGTTGCTCGTTGTACTTCATTGCGTACGTATACAATTCTTGCAAAGCACAGTTCGTGTTGAATTCGGTTGTATGCAACTAAAACAAAACAGTTACAAAATAAAATTATTCTCATCACAAATTTTAAGGTTCAATTTCTTTGCTTTGCTTTGATGTCGTTGAAAAACAAAATTTAAAAAATATATAAAACATCAGGTTTCACAACCATCTACCACAGTTTGAGTGAGACAGTCAAGCGGTAGAGTAGAGAAGAGGGAGGGGGGTTGAACAATCAATAATTGACTACCATTTCCTTTTTCGATTATTGGCAATGGTAAACATACCCTTGATTCTTCTGCCAGCATCGCGTTCATATCTTGGTCAGAAATTGCGGGCATCATTTTGATGTCGGAATAATATCGTTCCACCCATTCCTTGTAGCTGGGAATATCTTTAGCATAGAGTAGCTTGGAACTTGGAGAATCTTTACCTAAATAATGAAAAGTTTGTAAAAGAAGATCGCGAATGAGATAGTGATCTTACCTAGTCTATGATCAGAAGTAGAACAGGAATCCATAAATGTTTGAGCAACAACAGATAAACAAGAATCTACAATATTGGACTTATGTATATCGAATACGAAATTTGGATTCTTAATCAAATTGACCCAAAATCGTAATGGTAACGAGTTACTCTTCCATGTATGAACAACTTCTGGATCAGAAATACCATGCTGAAGTGCTTGATCATCAAGAAAATCGAACATATATTTAATAGCTAGTGGTAACGCAGAACCTCTGTGTGCGGTGCTAAAGATTGTTTCAAAAAGATCATCTACGAACTTTTGCAGAGTGCCCTTCGTAGCTAACAGTCTTGTAAGGTATATCTCCGATACCATCTTATTTCCTCTTTCTCCTTCCTTCTGCGCATCGTTATCGTGATGCTTTACAAGATGCCACACCTTCATACCTTGGTCGTGGTCATTATTTAAGGGACTCGTCGCACGACTTAATGGCGGACTAGCTGAGCTAAATTTACTAAGATTAAGTGTTTCGTACTTGTGAGACTTATCATTCTTCTCGGAAAATATATTAAGATTATATATAGAACTCTGTTTCGGAACTAAATTTAAACACGCGCCGTCAGGAACTCGGTAGTGCTGTAACGTATTTCGCTTTTTCCATTCCCCTTCCACTTTAGTTGTACTATCCTCATCGTAAAGTATTAACCTTCCCGCCGTTCCTGTACGCCATTCTGAAACGAAACAAAAAAATCATTATGAAAAAGCAACTTTTACCCCCTACACTTTAATAACTGCTGTTTTGATACATTAGAAAAAAGGTTATCATATTACAGTTTAGTTTAAATGAGTTTATGTGTTTTAACCCATGGTGTGATGCGCATGGGTTAAAGGGAAGTCCCAGCGGTACATTCTTCCTCTGACACGAATTTCGATTCTTTAAGATACAAGCTTTTGTACAATGGAGTGACGTCAAACAAAAACGGTGTAGGGGTCGTGATCAGCTAGCAACTTCGAGATAAAATTGTCAAAGTGGTCCGGATATATCTGATGTCTCATATCGATCAAAATTAACACTGACTATATCACCACGCGAATTATCTCTGGGTACGCACCGCAAACGAACTGCAACAACGACGAAAAGGAGGAGTTCTGAGAGTCTTTCGAAACTCACTTGCAGTTCTTTGGGCCAGAAGACCATGTTATAATTGGCGGCGACCTCAATGGTCACGTACGGGCAAAACAGAGACGGCTACGAGCGAGTTCACTGCGGCCTTGGATCAGGAGTGCGTAACGACGATGGTGAGCGGGTGTTGGATTGCGCAGACACCCACAACCTCGCCATCCAAAAGACATTCTTCAAGAAAAAGCCATCACACCTTGTGACCTGCTCTAGTGGTGGCTGAACATCTCAGATCGACTACATGATGGAGGGTTATCCTATGAACCAACATTGCACCTCAACACCGTCTGTTTGTTATGGACGTCTGGCCTGACATTGGCCAGCAACAACGGCTTCCCAGAATGGCGTTGGAGAAGATCAAATGGTGACATTTACCGGAACATAGTGAGCAGTTCATGAATGCACCCCAGGACCTGAACCAGCAGGTGTCTTGCATTTGGAACGACGTCATCAGTAAAACCCACAAGACGATACGAAAAACGAAACCAGGTCGCCGCTCCATCGATAAGCATAGATCGGTGGTCAGATGAAGAAGTACAACAAAAGATCAAAGAAAAACGGGCAGGGTTCAAGGTATGGCTCCAAAGTTACAACGTAAATGATTACCGTCAGTACAAGACCCTGGAAACAATGGCGAAACGCTCAGTGGCGACGTCGAAAGCTGCCCACTAGGTATAGCCATATCTATGAGGAAATAGACACGCCTGAAGGAGCGAACAAACTTTATTGCCTTGCAAGCGCTCACCACCGCGCAACGCAAAATATTGGTCAAGTAGGTACTATACGTCAAAGATTCTAACCATTCGAGTGGATTCTTGACGCTCGCCATTGATCGATCAGAAGAATTAGTCCGAACCAGTGCGGATTCGTTTAAGGCTGTGGAACCACTGATGCAATTCACGCCGCCAGGTTGTTGCTAGAAAAACAGCGGGAAAAAAACGAGCCCATCCACACGGCGTTTCTGCGTCTAGAAAAAGCATTTGACAGAGTAACCCATGACCTCATATGGCATGCATTCCGATCTCAAGGTGTCCCAGAAGAGTATGTCCAATGGGTCAAACTACTTCACAAAAAAATTCGCAATCAACGTTGGCGTACACCAAGGCTCCGCCCTTTCGCTGCTTCTTTTCATCCTGGTTATGACTGCCGCATCTATGGTCGCGTCTAACGTGTCCCAAAGCACCATAGGCAAACACAGTTAATGTATTTCTCCACAGAAGGATCCACGAGGTCTTTGCTATGTATTTGAAGGTAGTGTTCAACGTACGTTATTGAACTTGCCCGATGCTAGATAAAGATTGGAATAGTACGTTGAACACTAATTTCAAAGGCTTTGTGGATCTTTTGCGAACATATACATTGCCGTTTCCCTATGGTGCGTTCTACCAGGGCCACACTGTATATGCTGATGACGTCTACCTCGCCTGTGAAGACCGCGCGGAACTGCAACAACAATCCCAGCAGTGGAAGACGCAAATATACCTGAGTTTGGGGCTCAACATGGCAAACACCGTTTCTATGGAGTGTGGGTCGCAGACCAATTGAACTATCTCCATTGATAGGATAGCCTGAAGAAGGTCAACAAATTTAAATACCTCGGCTCCACTATCAGCAGTGACGGTGACATCTCCTATGACGTTCAAGCTTGAATCAACATTGTAGTCACAAGCGTCTTATGTGATCGGCGAATGAAAGTGCAATTTAAGACGACAGTCTACAACCCTTGGTTTACTGATCCGAGTGCTGGCCTGCATTCAGGGGCGCCGGAAGAAAATGCGCTAGGGAGGGGCCCTTACATTTTTGGAATAGAAAATGTTACCTAACTATTTTTTAATTAGTCACTCAATAGGATACGCAACTAAATCATATATCCAATAAAAACCACATGGTGTAATAGTGTAATAGGTAAAACAAGAACAAAAGTAACAAGTTACAGTAGTTTACTGAAAAAAAAAATGAAATTAATAGCACTATATTATAAAATTTGCTGTGGTTAGCACAGATACCACTCGCACACCGGCGCATGCGCGTTGTACCTTCTTTTAGGTCCAAAAATATGTGTACCAAATTTGGTTCCAATCGGTTCAGCCGTTTAGCCGTTAATGAGAGTTTAACACACTTGCGCATGCGCTATTCTCCCCGAAAGCTTTTCAGCTCTTCCTTTTATATCTAAGAATATGTGTACCAAATTTGGTTACAATAACAGTACACTACAGACAGACCGACATCATCAAAATGTTGTTGGATTCGGAATCCTGGTGCTTCAAAACGTGTATTTCCGAAAAAAAGTAGGGGGGGGGTCATTTTTTACCCCAATGCAATACCTCTCTTACTAACGTGCAGGTGATAAAAATTACAGTGCGTAAGGCAAATTCGAGGGCAAATTGTAACATTAAACTGTGTCTGCATAATTTTTCTACTCAAAACTATAACAAATCACCAACCATAATGTTATTGATTACAATGTTGGATGTAGAGTAGGGTAAAACAATGTAATCGGAAGAATAAAAAATCCTCTTACGTGATGGTTTTGTCCGCCTGTGCGCCTGTTCATCGTCTAACTCAAGAACGAAAAGACACAGCGATCTCAAATGTTCACCAATCGATTTCTACGAGTTCAAGAATCGGTGCTATTGAATATGAGCCGGATGAAAAGTCTGGTTTCCCAATACGAGCTGAGTAACAAAAAATTCCCCTACTGAATCGTATGCGATTCTTCGTATATTCATCACTTTATGTGCATCTATTCCATAACAAGTTAAAAACGTGGTCACTCGCGACCAACGAAAGCGCATTTTCCCCGCACAAAATCAGTAATAGCTCGGGGTCGGGAAGGAAGTGACTAATCCAAAAGTCTTTTGTCGTTCTGGCCTCGAGGCTGTGCTACACTGTATAAGAAAGAAACCACAACGAAAAAGCTTAAAGTGGAGGACTAGTAATGGTAAAGACGGACAAAGTGCGGACAATAGCGTTCGTTTTCCTTTTGAAAAATGCGCTAAAAACCGCCGAACCGAAATATGTAAGTGACATGACAATATTGTCATTGATGTTTTTCCAAAACAAAACGCCACCTTGCGGTCTTCGGTTAATTTAATCTCTATAGTCTATACAATATAGCAACTTTATGGACATTGAGGTAACTCAATAAGGTTATAAAAGGTTTACCTACTTTTGCTTTGTCACCGAACAGCGATGGGACAAAGAAAGGTGGCTGTGTTCTGGTTTTATTGTGAGCTTTCAACATTTTCTAAAAGGGATTAAGTGATTTCTCAAATCCCAGGGAGGGGCCCGGGCCCCCCCTTGCCCTTTAGTAGCGGCGCCCATGCCTGCATTGACAAAGTATGAGCGCGCACTTCACTCGATTGAAATGCGCATGCTTCGATGGAGTTTGGGCCTGACATAAGGAACACCGAGATCCGTAGACGCTTGGGAGTGGCGCCAATTGATGAGAAGATATGTGAGGCGGGACTTCGATGATACGGCCACGTTATACGCAGTGACACAACGATGCGCCTCAAAACACCTGGTCAACGCCTGCGCATAGAATAAGAAAACAATGGATGGGCCAGCTTGGCGAGGATATGAGGGCAGTTGGCAACGCACCCGAAGATGCAATGAACCGGAACAGATGGAGACGGCTATGTAGAAGAGCGGACCCTGCAATTGTGAGGAAATAACGCCAAGAAGAAGAACAAGAATTCCTATAACAAATTGCCAGAGCGATAGGTTTTTTACTTATTTATCTGTGTCTGTGTTCTGCGCCTACATATTGAAAACAATTTATTGATTTTGAGGAAGTATTTTTCAACAACATATATTGCATCTAAAAAACCAAAACAATATGTATGAATGTTATTAAGAAACACGTTTGTGTGGGGCCGGGACACTTCGCCGAATGCCCACAACGCCGACACGATTTTTTGATGGCTCATATAGCCAACTAGGGACACTTCGCCGACGGACACTGCGCCGACCGTGCCCAGGTGCCAGAGGTGAGGGAAGGACATCATCAAGTAGTTTTTATTCACTACCCGATTTTTACCCTATACCAGACAGCAAAAAATATCAGATTTGTTGTATTGCAATTAGTACTAGATCAACACCCAAGAAAACTGCACCACACTGACCTACCTCAGATGATTGTCATTAGCAAGTCGATTCATACCCTATAACCTTTATCAATGTTTATCAATGTCTCAATCCTGCTGCAGAGAAAAAAATTATGCACTCACCTAAATCCAAATCGTCTTTTCTAGGTCTTTGCGAGTATGGCGTCGCGCGATAAATAGTATCTAAGGCTTTTTCTTTGACTTGACTGATAGTATCACAATCTAAAACTTTAACAGGAACATTATCAGTGTTCGGATCTAAACCTCCAACAAATACAGCTTGTTGAGAAATGGAAACATACACCGTCTAGAACAACAACAGTAAATCACCCAGCACTTCGCAAGAGCTTACATACCATTGGCTTAAAATCTATTGATTGTCTAATGAGTTTTTCTTCGCTAAGAGAATACCGTGCCTCCGAAGTAATCGCGTCCACCGGACCTTTATCTACTTGCTGCTTAACGGCCCTAAATAGTAAAAATAGGGGATCCCCCGCACATTCGCGCAAAAATTTGTATAACAGAAACGTAAACCATGCACTAAGCATCTTCTCGGCAACGCTTTCCGTACGTCTCAAAAGCAGTTTTGGATGGCTTTTTCCCTCCATACATTTCTCGATTAATTCGGCCAGCAAAGTTTTCAGTATATCTGTACAGTACTCCATTTTGCTTTGCAGCGTCACCATTATTAACGAAGCTACATTTACCCTATAAAAATGGAGATTAATTAAAAAGTAGGCATTTCCTTGAAAAGCGTACCTATCTCGCATAGAAAAATATCTATTACTCTCCAACGTTCTTATGAATAGAAGTAGAAACGTCTTATTCATAATCAACTGTCCAAAAAGGCGGAGTCCCTTTTCTTTCCGAAGAAGCTCGGGTCTCTCCCATTGCAAAACAGCATGATCTTCCATGTTGGGGAACAGTATTTTCATTGCGTAAGTTCGATAGTCCAAGAACGGAATCCCACCAGACGTTAAATCGCCAGTCAAATCGGTCATTTCAGTTTGTAGCTCAGCAAAGGCCTCCTTACATTCGGCGGCCACGCGTAATTCTAAGATATCCATTTGTTCTTGCATATTTTTTAAAACGCGATTATTTTCGGTCGACTTGCGGCGATAAAGAATGAGGAACGCTACAGATACCAACACTATGACGACAGCAATAGCGCCGACAATTATCAACGTCGGCTTCGAGATAGACCCGTTTAGTCCCTGTGGTGAGGAATAAGACAAGCTGCCGATTGTGAAATTCAAAGAGCCCCCTACAATCACGACCACTTTGGGCAGAGCTTCTCCGGTTTCTTGACCTAGCATGTCGACAGCAGGCGGTTGAGTTTCTGGTGGCCGACAAGTCAATTGCTGGCGCGACAAAGAAGTTACATTGCAGTAACTATTGCCGATTTTTACCACCACGTCAGACTCCTGGCATGCGCGATCGATATTTTGGCCGTTGATGTTCAGATAATCCGATTTGTAATATTTAACTTCTTTTTCGAATGGCTCAAAATCGGGATTTGGATACAGAAGAAAGTGGGGGAATCCACTTTTCATGGTCAAATTGAGAACGCCGGAGACGTTGTCCATTTTAAAGCCGTACTCCAGCTTCAACGGATTGTCCGAGTCTAATTTCGATTCGTCCGCCTCTATTTTCGGACTGTCGCATATCATGCTGGTATTACTCTGTACAACGCATTGCTGCAAGGGAAGGATTTAGGAATTTGCGTTGGGATTTTTTCCAAACTTACGCTAAAGAACATTTTTTGCTCGTAGTAGACATACATTTGGGGATTTTGAATGTATGCCAAATTTTTCCCGGATACTGTGATGCGAATACCACCAGCGGGTATTCCCTTAGGTACCTTAATCTGGCTTGCCACGCCGGACTCTGCGGATTCTATGACTGGATCTTCCACATAATGAAACAGCTCTTTTTCGAAATAGCGATCACCTTTATCAAATTTCATACGAAGCTTTCCGGCAATTGGTTCTTCCGAAGCACTTGTCATGCACAGTGCTTGTTTTTGATCAGTCCTAAAAATTAATGCATTAAACTATCGGCGAAATGTGAATGACCAATAACATACGACAGTATTTTGCAGGGAAGATCATTGATGAAAGCTTGAATGTTGCTTCCAGCGTTCATGTACTCTCCGGTTATTTTTAGCATGGTGCCTCCGGAGCGCGGCCCATACTTTGGTGAGATTCCAGTTATAACAGGGTCTACAAATCTATAATGCAATTTGGATTCACCTCTGTAATCTTCTACTCTAACAACTACAGGACCATGGCGAGGTTCGCTAGTGCCTGGCCCGTCGACCTAATTCGAAGCTTCACTTATTTACAATAACTACAAATTTGAAATACATTACCTTACAAACAATCTCTTTGGTCTCGAGATAGAGTTGCTCATACGGTTGGCAATTGATACCGGCGATACTAACGCCGGTATAAATATCTTGAAAAGTCTTTCCTAAATTAATGCCTTGTATGGTAATATTGGTGCCGCCTTCCCATGGTCCTAATTCGGGACTAAACGAAGTTACCTCGGGATTGGGACAAGTCTGACTTCGATTCAACCACACCGCCGAACCACGGCCACACTGCTCTTTCACCTCGCAACTGTCCGAACTTTGACACCATCCGCACTTGTATTTTTCATCTAAAGCTAAGCACATTCCGCAGTTGTCCGCCATGTCTCCGCAACGGTAAATAACAACTGGAATAAAAAGGATATTTGTAATTTAACAACCTGGAACTTGTGGACAGTAGTGGCGCCTCACTCGAATGGTATGGAAAAAGGTAGCAACAAAGCACATATCTACACAGAATCGAAAGTGTGATCTGTCTGCTGTTTTGGAGTATTACGACTTTGGGTCTAATCAAAAAGAGCGTTTCTTATACAGGGTGATAATAAGATCGAATGCTCCCCAAAGAGTAACTTTGGACCAAGGTGCGCTCGGTTCAACTCATTTATTTTCTGCTAAAGATTCGCTACCGCGGGAAAAATTTATATTGAGCGAGTTTTGGGGGCGACTGTTTTTGCTCTAGTCAATTTTCTGGAAGATTCTCGAACAACCACATTGAGCCGCTGCGACGTGATCCACATAGAGAACATTCTACTTTAATTTGAGTATCAGGCCGTACTTAAAATTGAGGAAAATGTTAATTTATACTTTTGGATTTTTGCACAGCTTCCAAATACCTTTCGTTCAATGTGAAAAATAAATGAATATCAATTAACTTGCTTAGTTTATGTTTTAGTAGTTCCCTTTCTGCGTTCTGTTTATTGCTCACCATTTCCTACCTCGTTCAGGTCAAGCACGTTTTGGTCCGCCCGATAGTATATTGGTCCTTGAATATAATGCTTCTGGTGGCGCCACCGCTTATGAGCAGAATTAAAGTTATTCCAGAAAACTGAGGAAACTGAATAATTTTTGGAAGATCTTCAAATTTCCAATAAATTTTGAGCAAGTTTAACAGCTTTTGGAAGACACCGATTTTCATTCTTAGGATATTTTATAAGTCAAAGCTGAACACTTACCATGGATGTTATCTGGATTATCAAGTGGTTTAGAGCCGCCCCAAATGACTGCAAACGTGGCTGTCGTATTGGGTAACTTAGAAGTGTAAATAAAGTCCATAGGATCACAATAAATCGTATCGCCTAGTAACTGAGCGTTGACGCTGGTAACGCGGCCTTCGATATTAAATTGACACACAAATCTCGTTTGCACTATAAATTGGCCGATGATATGAACTTTGACTTTAATTGACTGTTTCAATCCGGAAGCCACTAGTATTTCGGGCGAGCGCCCTACGGTAGCATTTATCGTGGGGCAGAACGCCGGTCCCGATCTGTAACTCGGTCCTACTCGCTGAAAAATCAAAACGATAACACATTGATTTGAGAGCTGCAGCTTACGTTAACGCCGGTAACGAGAATGTCGTTTCGACAGTTTTCAGCGGTGTCGTGCGTACAACGATGGCCATCGACACACCAGTCGCAAGGAAAGGAGGAAGATACGCATAGAGTGCACGAGCTGTATGTGTTACAATCAAAGAATGTAAAATTGGTTGCGACAAAATCTGGACCAGAGGTCATTCGGACAGACAATTTCGCTGTAAAGTGATCTGCAAAAAACCAATCAACAACGGAAACATTTCATATCCCAATCAACTCACGTTGTCCAACTGGAATTGCAGGAAGTAGATCCGTACGCGGAGTGGTACAATTCACTCCATAGTTTTTCCTGGTGGCATTTGTGATGAGAGTACGATCTAAAGCTGTAAACGCACAAAGGAACTGACCGGATAAGCTCGGTAAGTTATCTATCACGAGATCCAGCTGAAACAAAATCATAATCATCAATGCTAGTACACGTTTGTGATCAAGAAAGTAAAACAAAGAAACCTTTGCTTAAGGTTCTCTTCTTATTAAAAGCTAAAAGTTTCTACCGTCCAAACAGCCACCGAACATTTGTCATCTTATTCATCAAGCCTATTGTGTTTGTGGTCTAATTCTGTGTTATAACCCTTATGCTTATCAGCAAGGTGTTCCGAAGCTGTCAGCGTTTGTGTGTAAGTTAAGTGCGCGTAGCATCGCAAACCTTGTACGACCAAATTATTTGGATTATTAAGAAAAAAAAAGTCATTTTAAGATTTCTTATTTTAATTGTCGTCGCCTGAGTGCGGGGTAATATTTTCCAAACATGGTTTGTAAGTTTTTCACTCAAGGATTCAGTAATTTTTCCTTGGTGTTTCGGAATAAATGTTTGCCATTGTCAATCAATTAACCGTGTGTTTATTCGAATCGACGAATCCATTGTGCAACCCATACAGGACAAAAGTATAACCGAAATCCGCATAATGAGACGTAAATAACGGACATCCTGTATAATATAATATGATATACTTAGAGCAGACCTCTTCAGAATCAGGCTGCGTATTCTAATTCTAAATTGCATTACTTTTACAACTTAGGAAGTTAAAAATTCCACTGAAAGGTGATACAGAACGCTAAAACTTGTCAACATTCCGCAAACCGAAAGCATTGCATTAAAGAACAACAATTCATTATTCTGATGAGCGCATTTCTTAGATCAGTTAGGATAAGTCTGGGAGGTACTCAATTGGAAACTTAATGCTTTGGTGTCAATGGACGATGAGAAGCAAGCCAATGAAATTTAACCAAAACTGCAAAGAATATAGCTAAACTATGATCAAAAAATGGATCCAAAAACTCCACCCAATCAATGGAACTTTACGACACGAGCTACATTTTTTTGTTCTTTGAAGTAGATGAAACAATAAGTTGCCACAGATGAGGAAGCAGCCATAGAAAGTGATACTCAGTCTAAAAACACAAAATTAATTATAGTCTATAAAAGGAAAGGAAAACTAACAGATAAACCTTCAAAATCGCCCATAGAGAGTTTAGGCTATTAGAAAATAAAACAACAGAGGACCTCAGAGAGCGTATCTTGGTCACACTTTGTTGTGGAAGGTAATGGAAAGAATGTGGTAAAAAATGGAAGTCGCAGGACACAACAAAGAAAGAAAGAAAAATAAAAGAATCAAAACATTATAACCGCGAAAACATTCCCTCAAAAAAACGCGAAAGAACGAAAAAGTGACGAATACGAAAGACCCCAGAAGAAGGACACGTTAACGTTCCTATAGAACTAGTGGTACGCAGGCCCGTGCGGTGAAAGCTCGCCTCTCTGGGAATCACTGGAGCCATGAAAACCACGCCAACTTTGGCAACGGGGGCTCTTCTGGCACTAGAGCCACTTATCTGTGGAGGTAGGTATAAGCTTGGAAGGCTTTCATACGGCTAAACGATTGGGATGAGTGGAATGGTCGAAACACCCTTGGACACGGATGGATTTGGGAGGAAATCCTCAGATCCGATCCCTTCCTCGCAGGAAGAGATGTGATCGGGACTGTCTTACTAAGACTGAAGATTTATAAGGTCACTCTCCCGGGCAGAGATAGGTGGCTAAACTCTGATTGCAAGCGAACTCTAGATAGATTACGTGAGTCTATTAGGGGATCTGGCTGCCAGCGCACTGCGAAATATGGAGCAACAAAAGGGCGGACGAGCTGGCTCGAGAAGGCAGTGGTGGGGTCTTCGTCGGGCCCCAACCTACCCTAGCAATTGCTCCCTCCGTTGTCAGGGCAAGGATCAAAGATTGGTTGGCCAATCAATTCCGGACTCAAACAGTCCAAGACCTTTTTTACAGGGCCCCTTGACTAATCTATACCTTCTAAGCTTGGCTAGAAGCCAGATTAGGAAGACCACCGGTGTCCTTACGGGGCACTGGATGATCAACTATCACCTGCGTAACATTAGGTTTGTGGTCTGTCACTGTGTCGCCTTGATCAGAGCCACACAGACTCCTTGGCGACAACTATCTGGAACCGGGGAGAATGAAGCAACTTAGGGTCCTATACCTATCCTATATTGAGAGAAACGGGCTCTGAACCTAGTTGCGAAAGAAAGGGGGTAGGCACAATGGTTCTTTGATGTGCCTCCCCTGTGAATAGATAGATAGATAGAACAGTGGTACGCAAGCAGAAAGAAAATAAGGATCACAGGCTAAACAAAATGGTAATGGGGGCTCCAATAACGACATTTGCAGAAAGAGACGAAAAGGGAAGAAGGTAATTGCTGTGCCCTAAAGTCTAAACCATAAACAGATTTTTTGAGATAGCTCAGGAGTGTTTTCGGGGATATTTAATATTGCACATACGCGGATATGAAAATGCGATTATCTTTTACAAAGTCTGTGGTTACATTTACAAGCGGACGACCACCCTCGTGCGTCGTTAGCTCCAATTAATTAAAATAAAGAACCAGCCGAAGTGGTAAAAGACAACAAACGCCGTTGATCGCTGTTTACGTTTTCTTTTGTAACATTTCAAGCTACAATAGAATGATAAATGCGGAGATGACAAATTACAATAAAACTCGTACACAAATCCGCTTAGCACAAATTACTTCCCACCACAATTGAGTGACGGTTTTCACTCAAAACTGCCACACGGGTCGCATAGGTATTTATTTCGTCAAAATGTGTAAATAGATAGCGTAATATTTTTAACAAGGTAAAATGGCGTGTACTTAAGTGCTTATTGATTCTTCTCAAACAGCAAAACAGCTCGCTAAAAAATTCAACAGAATTACTGTAGCTTCTGCAATGGGGCACGTTCCTGCCTACCTACTTTTTCCATTTTATTAATGACACTTGAGATCTCCCTCTTATTTTGTGATTATGTGCACTATGAAAATGTAACCCAAAAAATAAATTAAAACAATTCTCTCTAGTTCGTAAAATAAATAGTTTTGTCGTTTTTCGTTAAAAAGTTTTCCAGTTAGCAAAACCTAATTTAATAAAATTACTTTTTTGTTATTCAGTGCTGTCTGGTAAAAGTTACATTAACGGTTTATTTTAAGCAGACTAGCATCAGTCTTTGTCATATCATATATGCCTTTAACTTCTTTTCTCTGGAGCATTGAATTTTTAACGTTTATATATCATTCATTTGTCTTATTTTCGTGTTTAAACAAGTATGTCCTCCTCAATTTTTAACATAAAGAGATAAACCGTCTTGCAAACAACCCCTGGGACTTTGAGACCGCTAAACAAGCGCGAACTATGATGGGATACAAGATAATGACAATAACTTAGAGAAACAAACTGCGGCCGAGGTAAAAACTTGTAATTTCATTTCGGTATCGTTCACCAACCCACTATTGATTTACAACCAATCGCAGAGAAGTCTTTCACATATCCTTCAACGAAATTCACCAGAAATTCTTTGAGATTCTTAATTCTTCAGGGAGTGAGATAATTGTTAAAAATTAATTAATAATTAGCAAGAACTTCTGGTATAGCTCAGGGGCGTTTTCTGGGTGTGTTGATCTAGCAGGCACGGCTTGGCAGGCCCGTAGCCAGAATGAAGTAGCAGGGGTGGCCGGTATTTATCTAGGTGGGGCTTAAGAAGTTTTTGATAAAGACTTCTCCCCTAATTTTTGTAAAGGCACCATTAACTGTAATTTCCAGTCGCACGGCTGAGCGCCACCTGGGCACCCCCTGGCTACGCGCCTGCAGCTTGGTCCTATAGAAATTTCTGATTATATAGGATACCTACTATGGGATCTCATGCAATCACTGAAAAACCTATGGAAAATTCGCTCTTAGATGACCCAGAATTTCTAAAAAGTTGCGAGCAATCTTAGACAGTTCTGAAAGACTTGAGAGGATCTAGTAGCGTAACCAATTCTAATTCAGAAAATGGTGTTGCATATTTGCTTTGATCCAACACATATGTGAGTGGGATCGCCAATGCCTACAGAATTTTCGGAAGTTTTATAATGATTTCTATGGATTCTGCTATAAAATAAAGTTTTGCATTATGCACGACGATAAAGGGAAACTAGCCATCTTGTAAAAGCTAATTCACTCGATGGTTAAATCATCCTTTTATCGTCCTGTATAATAAATTATTATGTTTGACATATGTGCATGTGTATGTCTATAAGAAATAAAAATGCAAGTGGAATTTTTGAACAGGAGCATGGATTGGTTAGGTCATATTATAGTATTGACACTGACAATAGTGAAAGAATGCTCTCTGTCATACAAGTAGCCAATGGTACTCTACCTTAAACGTTATAGAAAAATAAATCATCATAAAATATACTAACTACATTAATATCAACTTCAAATTCTTACTGGAATTCTTTTGAAATTTACTGGAATTCAAGGGAATTAGATGGAAGTCAATGGAATTTTTCGAAATTCAATGGAATTTATTTTGCAGTTTTGGGCATCCAAGACTCCGCCACACTACTCAATCGACCTTAAATGGATTGGTAGCGGGCTGAGGGGGTACCACTGAATGGCCACCACGGTCTCGGGGACTCTACCTGACAAAGTCAATGTAGATAAATTGAATTTGTCTTGGTTTTTTAACCATACTTATTATTGTCCATAATGTAGTTCGTTCTCCAAATGGGGGCGATCCCATTCGCTGTACCGTCAACGTTTAAGGAATTTTTGAGTGTCTGGCTGTTTTTCTAACAAAAGCCATCTCAAAGAAAATACTGCTACGAAATTTCTCAGTTACAATCTTTTCGTATTAAATTTCCTGATTGCTAGACTACCATGTGAATTCCTATGGATTAAAGAACACAATTTCCAAACGTTGAAGTAGAAGTTATTAAAAAAAACTGTAGAGGAAATGTTGGTCTGCATATACAAAATAAAGAGGTTTCATTATACAAGCTGTTATTCAAACCCAAAAATAAACGAGCCTTACGACCATAAAATTACGATCTCGTATCGGCCTTAATAATCCGAAATGTCCAGAGAAATAGCTTATCCTTGGTATCGACATATAAAATTAACCTGGCGCCCGAACTATAAAGACTAGCAACATTTAATTAAAATTTCAACATTGTAGAAAATATTATGGCAGCGCAAAATTAGTAGAACATAGAGTTGTCGAGTGACTTTCCTGATAAGATTAGTGTCATTTATTCTTGTCTTGCGTTCATGATATCGAGCAAAACAACCAAATTTGCACATTAAAGCTTCAAAGTATTTTATAGTACTTTAGCATGCAGCCTTTTTGCTCAGAGTATCGATTCGCCGTAGAATGAAAGGCGGCGGTAGAATGGCGGAATTTCGCATTGAATTTCTAGTAATTATAAAATTACCGTTCCCTAAATAACGGAAAACTATTAAATTTCCCACTTAATGCATGAACTTTCAGATCCTTGAAAGTTTAAATGATATTCTCCTACTACACCGCATCTTGAGTACAACATGAATTTGTAAATAAGCTAAATGTGTCCTTTGAGAAACAACCCCAACTTATCTTTCTTCAAATTTCTTTTCGTTATATATGCCGAGGTTGTTAAAAATTAAAGTAACGTCTGCTTACAGTTCGCGCCGTTGTTCTCTGCAGTTGGTTTGGTGTCACTGTTGTTATTGTAGTGCATCTCCCGCTTTTATAGCTGATCCAGTATAAGGGGTCCTCAGCGGCATCCTGGCAATCAGATCTCAAACTGCACCTATAAATATAAATTAAAGTTACAACGTTTCATTCTCGATTTAATTACGAAAGCAAACAGCGCTGGCGATGAAAGGGTGTAGCGTAAATACTTACTTGTTTTCCAATGAACACCACCCACAATAAGGGTCTTTTGCTCCAAGACATTCCCAGCATGTTTTATAAACACTGCATTCCTGCACCTTTACTTTGGATACCTGAAACAAAGACGCCACGTTTTAATTTGAATAACAAAATAACATTTATTTTGAATTTGACGAAAGGTTAGAGAGCATAACCGAGTGCTAGAGAGATATTTTCGTATTCCTTGTAACTTTTGGGAAATAATGAAATTTATACATTTCGATTTGTTTACAGAGAATTCTTCAAGCACTCTTCACGTCATTTCAATTGTTTAACAAATACGGTTTAAGTCGAAATTTAAACGTTCGAGTTTGAATGGAGACCAAGACAAACGACCGAAGAGTGATCATTTACAAAAGGCGCATTTCCATATTAATATTTCCAAAAAGAAAATTACCTTTCTCCAACGTGAAGTGCTTGTCCTTTTTGTTAAAAGCATTCTACCGTTAAAAATGACTAAAATATGCAAACAGACAGACAGAAGAAGACGATTATGTACAATAAGTTTACAGAAAACGAGGTCGCCATTAGAGTTCTGGATACCACGAGGGATACCACCTAGATTCTGCATTACTGGATTATGATAGGAGGATGGATAGGCCTTAAATTTATTTATTTATTTATGAACATAACAGGTTACCCCAATAACAATGTATAAAGAATACAGAGTGGCCCAACGAGAAGTATACAGAGGGCTTTTAGGGTATTAAATTTAGAAATTTTGAAAAATCCTCGAACACGTCAATTTTGTATTCGAGGGGGACAACTTTTGGAATACAAATCACGAACCCAAGTCTTCACCCCTCTACGTAGGGAGCTTAACCCCTACAATTTTAAATAGAATCCTATGGCACATTATTTGAAAGCCAATTTAATCGTGATTACTAATCTGCTTTGCTTTTTAAATTCTATTGATTCGTTTCGGAGATAATTCGCATTTGAAATGGTTTTTTCTAAACCAAAACAAATGCGATCTAAGTTACCTTGTATTAAAATTTTATTTTGAAGCTTCAATTTGTTTGTTAAACTTAGGTGAACCTGTCAGTTCTAGGAAACGAATCAATAGAATTTAAAAAGCACTGCAGATTAGTAATCACGATTAAATTGGCTTTCAAATAATGTGCCATTTGCCATAGGATTCCATTTAAAATTTTAGGGGTTAAGCTCCCTACGTAGAGAGGTGAAGACTTGGGTTCGTGATTTGTATTCCAAAAGTTGTCCCCCTCGAATACAAAATTGACGTGTTCGAGAATTTTTCAAAATTTCTAAATTTAATACCCTAAAAGCCCTCTGTATACTTCTCGTTGAGCCACTCTGTATAAAAAAATATATATGTTCGGACCGTTTGTACTATTTTCCTGGCTAGAGTCAACGTCACTCAAGCCATCACCCGCGTGAGATGAACCTAAGGATGCTGGAAGGGGTGGCGACTCTAATCATATCTATGTCTAGTGGAAGTAGACCCAGAAGGGCCTCCATGACGGCTGTGGGAGTTGTTCGCATCGTGCCCGTGTCCGTGCACATACCACACGCAAGTCTTAGCACATGGTTAAGACGTACTACGGTTGTGGAGAGTCTGGTTCTGGACCACCACACAATTGCTGCACAGCAGAGCGTAGGTCTTATCCCGGCAGTGTAAAGCCACAAGACAACCTTCGGGGATAGTCCCCAAAGTCTCCCAATTGCGCGGCAACTTTACCAGAAAGCCATATTTGCTTTTTAGGCATTGACCTGGATATGTTTGCTCCAATTCAGTTTTTTGTCAAGTTTTATTCTTAAATATTTCACTGACTCTGAAAATTGGGGGTGTTCTTGCAATAGCATGGAAGTTCGAAGACCCTCTACCACTATTTTTCTTGTGAAAGCTTTTGTGGGATTGATATACACAAGGAGTGTTCCCTACACCATTCTTCGGTTACTCTAAGAACTGATTACATCAGTCTGCATAAAGTAGCATCAAATTTGCCCGTTATTAGTTTGAATATATCGTCCGCATACTAGAGCGTATGGTAGCCACTGTCATTGAGCCCGTCTACAGTTAAGTTCCAAAAAGTGGGTGCACCCCATCTTGGAGGTATGCTCTCACCTAAGTATTTCGTCGCCAACGCTGATGTGCACTGCTCTGAGATTCAGCAGCTGCGCTATCCAGTCTCGTAGGAAACACTCTATCCCCCGTTTATTTGAAAAAAGTGCTTGTTTGGATACCCTCTACCACCCAATTTTTTACGTACATGTAACGCCCTGTGAACCATATAATACAAAAATGAAGATGTTTTTTCGTATTTCAAATGGACATTGTCCGTCCGTCCGTCTCTATGACTGTGTCATTATCAAATCGTTATCTTCAGAGCTATTACCCTATTTTTCTCGCCATTTAGTTGGTTATCTTGAGGCTTGCAATTTTTTCTCTGACACTTACTTTCACTCATCACAGTTTTAAACTTTTGTCAAGTATTGTGCCTATACGCTTGTTGTATTTTGATTCTTGATTAGCTAAAACTCCAACAAGAAACTTGCTCAGTTTATTTTGCACCAGAGGGACCCAAAATCTCGAAAACTCCAATTTAATTGACGAAACGGTAAATGGTATTCCATACCCCCAGACCCTCCGGTGCTACTTCCGATGGTGTTTTACTGAAAACTGGAACGATGGTAGTCAAAGCAGACGGTTTAATTTATGAAGATATTTCTTTGAAATTTTAACCATAGATGCCTCTATAGTAAAGTATAGCGCACATAGCTATGGCCTTTTAGAAAGTACGCATCAATGCATGCAAAATGCGCTGAAGTTACTCGCTTTAGGGCGAAAATCTTTTTACTTGTTTAAATCATTGTCCATTATATGGTTAGCATTAGAAAAGCAACAATTCTACTATATCTAGGTGAACCCTGCATAATTCTTATTGTCTGTTCTGAATACTTTAATTGGCACAGATTCTTAGGTTCTACCAATTTGTTACAAAAAACGAATACTTCAGCTGTCTCATGGTCTAAGGCCCAGTACCAGTTCGGCATAAGTGTTATAAAAATAGGAAAAATTAACTGCCATCGATACGATTTCAGATCATAGTATTCGTAGTAGCTCATCTCTGGACTGTATAGGTATAGGTGACATATCTGTCTGTCATTATGTGCTCGAGTTCTGCTAAGCGCACCATAGTATGGATAAAGGCTTATGCCGAACTCTCCTTTGGCTCTTTTAACCTCAAATTTGATCTGTATGGGAAATCGCAATTGAGTTGGAAAGATTTGGGGATCCAAAAACTACTCCATCCACCATAAATTTTATCATTTGTAGTTTTGGGAAATCGTTATTAGCAACACTGATTCTGGCATTCTGTTTATTGCATACTGAAATTCAAATAGGCACGATCAATTGATGCGTACCAATTATTGTAACGTTCTTAAATGGCGCATTACATAATTTCTCGAAAGCTCGCGTACGTTTACTTCTAATGGCGCCCGATTGTTTTTTTCCAAATGCACTTAAATGGGGCCACAACCAAAAATCGATTTCTTACCCCGTCTGCTCAGCAAAAAATATACGAACTTCGCATTCAGGACGTAAAGTTAGAGGCCCGTATAATGGTCATTGTTATTCGTATTCGCATAAAATAACTACCCCGAGGTAAGCGGCCTAATGTTATTTTATTTTGTTTAAAGTAGGCCGCCACTGAAAATTGGGGGTTGCTTTGAAGTATGAGGTTCTATGATTTAATAAATTCACTAAAAGCGTACTTGGTGAATAAGCGTAATTTGTTAGGCGGCCATTAACTTCCATCAAAAAATTACCGTCGAAGTTGTGGTTACGGTAATTGATCCCTCCATATCGTTTTGAAATAATGGAATATGGCCGCATTCAAGCCGCTTAGTAAGATTTTAATGCTTCCGAGTTTTCCATTACTGCTGTTTGCCCACGTGTGTGCGTAAAATCAATGCGAAAACTAAATATTTACGTACAAATATGACGCCCGAGCGGATGACAGAATGGCCTCCCATTACTAATTCTAATATCGATATCCCCACGAAGGGGAAAACTTATCCAATTCTTTAATACCCGTCATTATATTTTAGTTTAGGATTGATTAGAAAATTCCTTTTTCCATTGCTAATCACGTAATCGCGGACTGTAATGACGGAAACGTTGATTTCCCCTCATTACAACTTTTCTACGTTATTGCCGTTCATAAATGTAATTAACTAAATGGAACGCAATTTACTATCCATAAACTTAGTTAAAAGTAAGACTCAATCACTTAGGTATTCGTTTTACGTGTTGACACTCTTACTAGATTTTCGAAATTCCTGGTTGCTATCCACGGCAATTTTTCGTTGATTTCCACCCCCTCAACGCAAAAATGCATTAGAAGGATAAAAAATAAGTGAGTTGGTAGTTGAAATAAAGCAAAGAAGAGTTGTGGGGGTCGTTGCATAGGGGTAAGCTATAATATCATAATCCATACGAAACATACCCGAACCATAGAAACGCGACTAGTATACGTACTTTGGTTTTATGTTCTGTATAAGTGATCAGACATATGGAGTCTTCAAGGAAAATAGACAGAAGAAGGAAAATTCTTATAGCGTATATCTACACCAAAAGACTAGAAAGGGGGAAACTGAACACCAAAGTAGTGGTGGTCAAGGAAAAGCGAAGATTTTTCATATGCTATTATAGCCATACCCAAGAGCTCGTTTTCTATATTTGTTTACACGTTTTCTATTAATTTCGTTTGAAAAATCCACAGATTAGAATTTTTATCGCCTTCCCAATCTTTTTGTGTCAATTTGATAAAATTTGCAAAATTGAGATGGGTTACACCTAGGTAAAGCCTCGGGTAAAGCCGATCAATTATTGTGCGCTTCAAGGTTGCCGAGAAAATGATTAAAAAAGAAACACAAATTTTGGAACCTTTTGGAGAGCGGATAAATTTTGCACCCCCTCTGTAAACGTACGCTTGGCTTATTCCAATATATTTTTCCTACAACTCCCGTCTAAAGTGGCTGCGTCATATAAGAAAATGCGAAAGCAGAACACCCGTGTATGTTTTGATTCCTTTTAAGGTTGCGCCCA